AGGGCTGGGCTCGCCCAGCAGCACCGCAGGTCCCGCAGCGACGCAGGGGCTCCCGTGCTTCATTTGCCCCTGTGCTTACATGTTTTATCCGTGTAAATTCATGTCCAGTGCAGGCCCCACACATATTCCTGCCCCACTGGTCCCCAGGTGCGTGGCAGGCCTGGTTCCAAGCGGATCTGGGACTGCTCACCCCGGGGATCCGAGCAGCCTTCAGCACCCACGGATTAAACATTGACCTATAGGCGCCTTCACGTGCAGAAAACGGGCCAGGACTTTAGACTGCCCTCAATGACTCCGCAGGGGCTGAGGCAGGAGGTGGCCGGCGTGGTGGGACGCTGTGCCCCTGCACCCTTCAGCAAGCCTCCCCCAAGGGCCCTTCCAGGGTCCAGTCTGTCCCAGCAGCTCTGGGCACGAGTGTGTCAGGTCTCAGTCCACATCCTCTCAGAGCAAAGTGTGAAAATATTGAATATGGCCTCCTAAAATGGGATGGTTTCAGCTGTCGCAGAGTGTGCACCCATCACCCCAGCATTGAGCCTGAGAAAATTCCTGGTGTCTCCAGCAAGGAGAAAGGCCTGGAGCAGGTTATTGCTGGCTTCAATCTCAGCCACGGGGGATCTTACTAGAGCACTTCCCTGGAGTCTTCCTTATCCTCCGAATCCATGACCATCACTACTGCACATAGAGCACTTTCCTTCATAGGTCTTTGGTCCTGCAGGAGCTGGGAGGGGAAAGTCCTGCTCATATGGGAGTGATCTCCTTCTTCCCAAGTGGATGGAAGGGAAATTGCGCTCTCCGGCGGCTCCGCAGCCACGGCCTGGGGAAGCAGCTCCATCTGCTGAGCCGACGGCACAGGCTGGGAACAGCTGCCTCCATGTCCACTGCTGCTGCTCGGGTGGACGCAGAGCCCTTCAGGCCCCGCCGTGTCCGCATCTGCCATTGCAAAGGGCCCCAGGAGGGAACTCGGGCTTTGAAGGTGCCCTAGAACCCCAGGGAAGGGAGAGCAATGGACAAAGTGTGGCCAGGAGAGGCACAGAGATGGTCAAAATATGAAAAGAAAAAGTGAGGAGAGAAAGGTATTCTGCTTTCAGGCTACTCTGAATTCAACCTGTGACCTTGTCCTGCACTGGGTGAAGAAGTAAGCGCTGGGGTGGCGTGGTCTGAAGGGGCTTTCAGCCCCTGCCACAGGCACAGTCAGAAGATCCACTGGTCGGGAGGAGCCCTTGAGAGCTTCCTGCTGCAAAAGCAGGGGAAACAATGCTCAATAGCTCCAAAAGCTCCTCAAAAGATGGGAAAACTCTTCTCAGTTGCTACTATCTTGTGAGGATAAGCCAGAAAAGTAATGTGAGCATCAAGCACTGCGAGTGAGATCCTCAGAGGATGCTTCATTCCTTGTTTAAGCCAACTGCTAGTGCCAGGGTGAAGGCTCCCGGGGCAGGTTATCTCACACTCGCCTCCTGTGAGACTCCCTATGGGCACCAAAACAGCCGGCATGGGGATGAGGATCCCAGGGAGGCTGAGCAGGGTTGGCTCCAGGCTCCCCATGGCTCAGCCTTATGCTCCCAGGTGACCGCAGGGATGGAGTGACCACAGCTCCATGCCCAGTGGAGATGTACCTTCATCCCAATCTATCTCAGTTTCCCAGGAAGAGGGCAGTTTTGAAATGCAAAATTACTTCGTTGCCTACATCCCTTTCTGGATGTACAGGATCTCTGCCCTGCTGGTTTTTCGACACATTTAATGCCAAGGACTTGTCAGTGATCAAAGGTCTGACTGCAGAGGTGGCCAGGCATGTTGGCTTGACTTGATATCTCTTTATCCAGCTTGGAGCAGGGCAATGACAACCTGTCTTTGAAGAGGACACAGATGGAGGAATGACTCACGTTCAGCACCAGCCAAGGAGGGACGTGCTAGGGGCATTGCTATCTAATTCAGCCCACTCACAAGTAAAGGGAGACTTTCCTGAGTTTACCAGATTTTTCCCCACATGGCTGAATCTGAGAAAAAGCCAAGTCACCATCAAATTGGTGATACAGCAAAACCAGGGCTATTCCAGGGAGCTGGGGTGGACAAGGACTGCCTGGGGGTACAGAGTACCTGACTGCAAGGCTGTGGTTATGGGATCATCCTGCTCAGCATGGGAGATACCCTGGCCGGAGGGCACCTTGCTCTTCTACTGATAGCCCAGGAGAAGTTGTGGGAAGGATTTGGCACAAGTACCCCCATGTACCACGGTACGAAGCCAGGCCACAAAGAAGTGAATGTGCTCTGGAAAAATGGTCTCATGGAGCAATTTTTTATGCAAATACCGTCCTGCATGTGTAAGAAATGAGATGGCAGCTGTTTCTGGCCTTGTTCACTTGCAAAAACACACTGGCTTTTAAAATGCAGCGGAGCAGAGTGATGCTGTCCCCCACATGACTCTGTTGGACTGGAGAATAATAGTGCACTTACTTGGAGACTAAAAATATCAGTAGCTGATGTTAAGCTGGTTTCTTTTTGTTTTTGCTGACACTTGCACTTTTTTGGCTTGTCTGCAGGGCTTAAAAATGTCACCAGGTGCTGGTTCAGGCTGTCCTCAATCCTGTGCTAGTGAGGGTGAGCTCAGTGTCAGTCCAAGTGTCTTACAGCTCATTAAGCAATTGCTGAAGCCAGAAAAAAAAAAAAAAAAAAAAAAAAAGAGAGAGATTTGCACTCAAAGACCAAAGGCTTTTCCTACAGTGCCCTAAAATCAGCTGGGATGAATGGGTCCAGAGCTGAGACCAGCTCCAACCCTGCAAAGCTGGGTCTCTTTTTCTGAAACACCACCTATAAGCATTATCTCCAGTTTGCAATTGCTCAAATACCACTAGAACGACCTGTCTTTGGGGCTCTGGATGTTGCATTACATTATGTTTCCCAACGAGTGGTCCAGAGCTGTCGGGATCCCAGCAGGCAGTGATCAGGGAAGTGGGTCTTGGTGCTCCGCAGTCCTTGATGCCGGTAGAGGAGATGGCTTATCTTGCCCAAGGAATAGCCAAGCTGAGCTGCAAAACTGCTCTGGCCATCACTAAGCCCTGCAGGACCAGGGGGAGCAAAATTTATAAGACTTAGTCCTTTTTTTTTCCCCTATGACACTAAAGTTTCTCTGTACAGCCCCATTGCAAAGGCTGGGGCTGCACTTTTGGATGAGGACAGGCACTAATGTCAAGACAGCGATGTCAGTGAAGGCAAAGGACTCAAGTTCTCCTACAGCTGGAGAGCCACCCTATAACATCACAGCCTAATTCCCTGCAGCAGAAGCAAACAGCAAAAAATGACTACATTGCTACTGAACTGCAGAAAAAGGCATTGAGCAGAGAAAGGTAAAAGGGGAAGACCAGGGAAATAGGGCCTTCCTCGGGACTGCTGGGCCAACATGCAGCATCTACAAGAAAAGTTAGAGAAAGAGTAAGGGAAGTCACAGTGACCAAACAGCAAGTGGGAGAGATCATCAGAAGCAAGAAAATACCCTTTAAGGAGCTGAAATCCCAGGTGGATGGGTTGCAGAGGAGAGCTGGGGAATGCAGGCCTGCGCACTTGCATATTAGTAGATTTTGCAACAACAACAACAAAAAAAAGAATTAGTGAGTGTTTGGATGAATATGAGCTCCTTAGGAAGTCAGCTGTTTTTGCCTTAAAAACCTCTTGGACTTCTTAGAAAGAACCAGCAAGCATGAGGATAAGGATGGTCTGTCTGAAAGAGTCCACTTTGACATCCTAAAGGCTTCTGACAGAGCCAAAGAGGCCCCGAAGGCAGCAGAGCAGACTCAGAATAAGAGGGCAAGCCCTGGAAAGGTTAAATACCTGGTTAAATGATAGGAAAACGGTCCATTCTCTCAGTGGAGATGGTCACAGGGCAACATCTCAAGCCCTGGGCTCACTGAAGGGGAAGAGATCTGCTGAGACAGTGGATAAGAAACACCAGAACGAGAACATCCTGACCTGAAAATGGCAGCAAAGGAATGGGACGGTAGCAGCTCAGAGCTGCTAAAGAGCACAGTGACCTTTCCAGTGGGATATTTGCTGTAACATCCTTCATTTGCCTGGGACACATCTCTATCCCCAGGAGGGAAACCAAGGGCTTCTTTGCTGTCCTCCTCTCCTATGGGGGGGACTCGCTTGCTCAGCAAATGTGGAGGAATTTGCATTTTCAGCCCTAGAAGCAAAGCAATGCTGTGGGGGAGAGCATACCTTAAGATATGTGCGCTTTTTAATTAAAATTGCCTGCTGCTTAGTGCAACTTGACATAATCCCATGGGAAAAGAAACCAGTAGTTAAGGCAGTGCTGCAGTAGGCAGGAGTGACCTGGCCAGGGCCAGAATGTTCCCCAAGCTTCCCTTTTGAGTACAGCATATCCCTAGCATCCCTCTGGGAAGAGATGGTTTGGGGTCAAAGCTGGATATGCCAGCTGGGAGTGGGAATGCTGTGAGCTGTCAGGCCAGGGCTGGGCATGGAACACGGTTTTCCCGTCATGCAGAGCACAAACTTTCACGTGGAAAAGCTTGCCCCAAGCGACTCAAGCATCGAAGGAGGCAGCAGGCAGGTCCCCACACCCAGGCCACGCTCCAGCTCCGGCCCCTTCTCCAACTCCAGCCGTGGGACACACTCCATTTGGCGAAACGCCCCGAGCAGCCGCTCCTCAGGGCTTCACCTCCGCACGCAGCATGGCTTAAACTCAGCTCCAAAGGGGCAGCTCTCCCTAAGGAGGAAACGTAGCCACGGCAGCTCCAGCCGCAGCGCCGGGAAGGGGTTTACCCCACATCCCACGTGGGAAGGGGTTTGCCCCACATCCCACGCCCCTCCCAGCGCTCCCGCCGCGCTTTTCTTGTTCCCATGGGCAAGCCCGGCATCCTCCTCCTCCTCCCGGCGCCGCCAGGGCAGCCCGCCAGCCTTCTTAGCATGCGGCGCCCGTTGCCCGGGAGCGATTGTGGCTGCCGAGGAGCCGCGCTCCGCGGCCGCGACGATGCCGGGCTGGCATCCCCCTCATCCCGCACCGTCGTACGGTTTCTCCTGAGGGATAAGCACTCACAGGAACCACTTCTCCAAGCCAATCCATGCTGATAAGCCCGGTGCCGGCTCTCCGGCGGGAAGACCAAAGAAGAGTTTTCCCTTCCCAGCAGGATTTGCCGCTTTGAATGCCAGAGGAAGGGGGGAAGGCACCGGCCTGGCGCTCCTTGCGGGTGAGACGCTTTGGATGCCCCTCTCCCCCGCCGTGTGCTGGGGTGCGATGGAGCTTTTCAAGTTGAGTCTGGGCTGCTTTTGCCTCCTTCCTTGGCTCCAGGGTAAGTTTTGCTTCCTTTGTGGGAGCCCCAGAGCAGGCAGATCTCTTCCTCTCGGAGTTTTATCCCGTTCTCCTGCGGTCACATACGGATGTGTGTGGGCACCCAACATGCGGACATTGATGCAACTCCCCAGGGTGCTACGAGAGGGTATTCAGCGAGGGAGGGTGGTGGGAAGCAGGGAACGGTTTCTCCATGTGCTTTGGACTCTCTTACCGGCAAACACTATCAGCAGCAGGATGCGCGCGGGAGATGTAGCCTGCCCTGTTTGTCGCCGTGGGGCAAACTTCTGAGAGGTCCGTTTTAGTCTCTGAGTGCATTGCAGAGCTGTGTGCTGACGTAGGTCACATCCTATATACTCTGATACACAGGAGAATTTTGTGCCCAGTGTTTAACAGCCACAGGTGGAAAGCAGAAATCCTGCCTAGCATCATGGTGCAGAGCCAGGTGAGTTACTCGGGAACAGTCAACCCCCATCAGAGAGAGCAGAGAGAATCTCTGCTTTTTAAAGGAGCAAATCCCCCAAGACAACAAATAATTTCCTTTTTTCATTTTGCTACATTTGAGATTCAGGGTTCATGAAAGGGACTCACTGAAATAAATCCCTCCAGTGCTTCGAGGCTCACCCAGTCCCAGATATGCAGGACAGCAGCTCGGAGGTTTTCAGGGAGCTCCCTGGACCAAAGGACTACAACTATTTTGGCTACACAGTTGGGGTGTTTATTCCCTAAAGATAAAGCACAGCGTGGCGGCTGTGACCATAAGCCCGTTTATTCTCCTTTCCCTGTAGCCTCTTGGTTATTCAACTACCCTGCAGTTTGCTCTGCAGCAGGTCAAAGGAGAGGTTTGCACTCACACAGACCTCACTTCTGCTGATCTAGGGTTCTTTTTCTGCACCTCAAAATCCTGCTGATTAAAACAATTCCAGTGATTAGATCTCTTCCTAAAAGCTCTGGATTCCATGTACATGTTTCCCTATGTGGGTGGGCGGTGAGGAGAGGTCTTTCTTGTAGAGATGTCAGCTGGCCAGGAGATGCCACAGTGGTGGGATGCCAGGAGAGCGGCACTGCCAGAGATCATGCTCCTTCTCTTTGCTCTAAGAAAGATCTTTGTGTGCTATTAGAAGTAAAAGTGGCTCTTCACTGTTGCCACACTAGGAAATGAAGCAGCGCCAAGGATTGTTCCCCGGCAAACTTCTTTTCCTTCACAACAGAACAGCCTTGGAGCGATAGCGCAGTCGGACATTGTGTTTCAGCTAGGACAGTGATAAAACCCCGACTGTTTTGCAAGAAAGGAAATGATCTCCCCTGTATCTGGCAGTGCTCCAGGCAAGCTGGAAGGGCAGAAAGCAAACACAGGCTTTGCCCCGTGGCTGACACCCCCTCCCCAGCCTCCCCTCCCCGTCTCATCCTGCTAGGGACTGCCCTAGGCAGGCAGGACAGAAGAGTTTGCTCTTCCCAGACCTTGAAGGGTTCTGTTTCATCATAAAATCCTGGAATTGCCTAATTCTGACACTAGTTTCTTCGGAAATCCCCCATGAGCGGGAAGGGGGCTGAGGTCCCTTTTAAAGAAGCAGTGAGGTATAATGCTCAGGCACAAGCAGGATCAGCGTCTGGACAGGCCAGACAGGAGACTGATGAAATCAGAGGTCGCCCAAAGCGTCGTGCACGGAAGAGGCAGAAAGACCAAGCTGATACCTCCCGTTACCCTGGACGCCCTCTCAGTCCTCAGTGATTTTTGCCTCGGGGGATTTCCTGGTGTTGGCATGGTTAGCTTTTCAGCATCGCAGTGGATCTGCCTGTGTAGGCTCCTCCACATGCATGCTGGTGGCAGCATCTGCAGCAACTCCCAGGACCACCGTTTGGGTGTGGAGGCACCTCCTCCTGCTTGTGAGCCTCTTCCTGGCACTTCAGGTCCTCTCTGGGAAGCCTCTGAGCACTGAATCCCTGCCCATCCTCTCTGGCTTCCGTAGACCTGCACCCCTGAGCTATCCTTTTCCCAGCACATTCTTGGGAGCAGAGCAGGATGCTCTCAGCTTTGCTCTTCTTCTAGCAGCTGAGTGACTGCAGAGCCCTGAGTCCCTGTTTTCCTGGAATAATCATCTATGGCAGACCCCAGAGAATCGGGGTCCCCCTCCTGATTTGCAATGGGCAGCTCAGAGCCATGAGTTTCCCATGAGAGTCTGGGGCTGGTTTTCCCCATGTGATTTGAGTTTGTGGTCTGCACTGACCTCCTCTGCTCATTTATTGTCCCATTGCTCAGGCTCACACGGCACTTCTGCCACTCATCCCTATCCCAAACATCCCCATTGCTGGTCAACTGAAAGCCAGATAATCCTCAAGGAAACAGCAAGGACCAGAAAAAATACAGGCCAGTGTGGCTGCTGGAAGCGGCATCTGGGAATGATTCCTCACGGAGTCATGTTGCTGAAAAGCAATCTGAGTGCAGAGCAAGAAGTATTTGCATTCAGGTACTTGCTCTGACAAGCCAGTCACTCACTAGTTCCTATAGTTCCTAGTTTTCATACTTTCCTGGCTCTGTCTTGCCCGTTCCCTCCACAGAGCCTTTAAAGGGAGGGACCTGACCCCAAACAATTCATCAAATGGTCTTGATGAAGTCATCGCAGGCACAGAAACTTTCCCAGTTGCACTGGGCTTACTGGTAACCAAGGCTTTCCTGGTAGCATTACCTTAATTAGGAAGGTTGCATGAGTTCTGCTCCTAATCCTGCAAGGAACAGCATGTCCCAGGGGTGCTCATGCCACAGAGAGGCAAGGGGCAATATTTGCTTGTTTTCCTTTCTCATAACTGGACAGAGTGGTAGCATTATAGGAGAGGCCAGCTGGCATTAAGGGCCTTGCTAGAAATTGTTTATTTTGTTCCTAAAAATATGAGGAGACCAAAACATTCAGAATGAGCAGCTAAAAGGCGTTTTTAAGAAGCTTTGAACCCAGATCCCCAAACCTACAGGAGAGTTTCTTTCCACCTCGGTTGGATGCCATCCTCTGCTTGCTCCAGGTTAACATTTCCCAAATTCTAGGTTCTATGGCTGTGTTTGCAGGGGTACTAAGCTTTGGCACTAGACATGCTTGGCAGTGTTGGAAAGAAAGGTCACACCTGACGTGTGTCTCAAAGTAAATCTGCCTCAGCTTTCTTTGTACCTGTACCCACCTACAGTTGTGTGAGACAGGACAATTGCTTGCTGCCAGTTATCTCTATCTAGGCACACCTACCTAATTAGACAGCAACTTCTAAGGGATGGGGAATTTGTATCGCAGACACGGGCGCACATCTTGGCAAGCAGCATTTGTACCATTTGAGTGGTACAAAACTCAGGAAAAAGTCCTTGTGTTGCAACCCTTGTGTTGCAGTGTTGAGGTTCCTCAGCTCACATGGATTTCACGCACAGACAGGCTGCCTTGTCTTTTCAGTGGGATGAATCTCTAAAAATAAATATTTTTCAAACTTCTAAGATGAATGTAAACTATTGCATGAAATGGCTTCCAGAAAAGAAAAGGAAAAGGATTATGATTAACTATTGCAACGATGGAGATCTTCAAAAGGGATCCAATAGAAACAGGAACAGTTCCCTGCTGTGACAGAGAATAAAATTAGCAGATGCACAGATGAATGTGAGAGAAGTCTGTACTGTTTTTGTGAAGGGAATGCCAGACTCATCAACAATGGCATAGATCAGCTCATGTTGGATGTTGTGAGCTGATCTGGATTCGGCAAATCTTAGATCTTAGATATGTGGACGACTTTTGATAAAATTCATCCACTAGGGCCCTTAATATCAGTTCTCATAGCAGAAGATTTCTCTGAGGGATAAGTGGTTACAGATTAAAAATACAGATTAAAATAACAACTACAAAAAACACACAAGAATATCAAATAAATAGACAACAGCAGGAAGATGTCAGCAGGTGCCTATATAAATCAGTGCTGTTTGACAGAAATTTTTTTAAAAAGTGTGAATAATGAAGTAATGGAGCTTGCTTATGGCATAAAATTATTCAGGATAATCGAACAAAAGTTGACTGTGCAGAGCTGCAAAAGGAGCTCATGACACTGACTGAACAGCAAAATGATTAATGGATTTCTTTGGGGAAAATTCAATGTAATACACATAGGAAAAGCAGTTCTAGCCAGAAATACCTGGATAACTTTATTGAGCGAGCTCTTTTCTAGCCTAATTTTTTTGTCTTCTTCCCTTATACATTTGCTAATGCCCAGCACTGGAGAGAGGACATCAGGGATTGCCAGGTATTTTGTCTGACTCAGTATAGCTCTCCTGCTCCTTACCTTTCTTATGTTTCTATGCAGTGTTCAGTTCATTATTAAAAATTAAGATGAAACAAACTCCCAGTTAAGATGAAGAAAAGTATTGCTGTGAATCCTAGATTCTGGCTTCTAAAAAAAGAAAAGAAAAAAAAAATGGCAGGAGGCCTACGAAAATGTATTTGTGCCCTTGGTTTATCTAGAGATTATGTGGAGATGTAGGAGATGTGCTCACAGATGCAGCAGAAATTTTCTTCCTGGCACATAGGATTGGTGAGAATTGTCATAGAATCATAGAACGCTTAAGGTTGGAAGGGACCTCCAGAGGTCATCTAGTCCAATTGTTTGGGTCACTGGCTCCACAGGACCATGAAGAGCAGTACCCCAGCAGCACCACATCCATCCTCACCTCATTCCCATCCACTGTAGGAGTTGTACTGTGAATTCCGTCTGCCTCCACTGGCTCAGTCAGGTCCAACACAGAAGCTCTGAGCTGTTAGTCCAGCAGGCCTCTAGGATTTCCTGAGAGAAAACATGGGAGCTCTTTTAAGCTATTGTTCCTCTTCTTGTCATTGCGTGTTGGCTCCTGTTTACACTCACACTAGCTTTTGTAGATACTGAGCCAAATATGCGCTGCCAGGGGAAAGTATTGTTCTTTGCTTTGGGAGGGGAAATTCTGCAGAAATAGCTGTTTAGATAAGCATCACTGTTCTCGTCCAATGTCATTTTTCTTCCCTTACTGCCATCGACATGGTATGCTGATGATGCTCTTCAAAATGTGACCCTTGGGGAAAAGAGGAAAAAGATTTCACCACAGCAGCTGAAAGTTGTCATGTTTTAACTGAAGTTAAAATCAAAGGGGATATGGCAAAAACTTGAACTATTTATTTCTATTCCTCTTTGTGTAAATTAGACACAAAATACACAAGGGATAGTATATCTGTGTCAATGACACATGATTTAACATTTGATATTTTGTTTAGGATGTTCTCAGGCTATATCTGTTGATTTTACAGTGAAAATGGATGTAGCTTCCCAGTTAACAGCTATCCATCCCAAGCCATCACAGGCCGAGGATGAGTTTCATTGTGACCTAAAGCAGCAAGTAACTAAGAAATTGCTTGTCCATTGTAGGATGAATTTAGGGTGTCTCTTACAAAGATATTTCGTGTCAAGAGCATACAGACCAGTGTCAGAGATAATAAATGCAAGTTTACTTCCATAATTATGCGAGTCAAATTAGTCAAGTACTTCCAGATATCTGAAGCAGTATGGTATTATCCCTGATGTTGCTGTACTATCACAAGAAGCCACCTAATGTAAACAACAGCCCAAAGGGGCCTCCTTGGTGACCTAGATAAGCATTTGGGAATTTGGGGAATTTCAATTATTTTTCATAAGAAAGATTTGATGCAAACTGGGGTGGGGGAACAAACCAATTATTTTTGACGGTAGAGATGGACGAGTATTTATTTGAAAAATCTTAGCTAGTTGAAATATGGTATTAAGTATTAAAGACATGTATCAAAAGTACAGTCTTTCACAGATAGTGATGTGTCATATGAGTAAGTTAGTCATAGGTATTTCTCTCTAGTATCATTCCTGGTTATTTGTACTCCAGATAGAGGGATGTAATTCTGGGAAATTAGTAGGATATGAGAAATGCCATCTCGGCATGATCACCAAAGGATTGGTGAGTTAAGTCTCCCTCTCTCATGGGCCTCTAAAACATCTTGCGCTCAGAAGATGTGTTTTCCTTGGACACGTACAGTACTAAATGGTGCTCTGATTGTACTGCAGTATCGGCGGGGCAAGGCTTCCTCATAAAGAACATTCGTTTGGAAAAATGCATCCACGTCTCCCACCACGAGCCTGATGGCATTGGCCTGACCCACTGCAAGCTGCATTCCCAGCAGCAGCGGTGGAGCTGGGACCCCGACACCAAGAGCATCATCAGCCTCGAAACGAAGCTTTGCTTGTCGGCCTACAAGACACGGGAGTACTCACTGGTGAAGCTGGAGCCCTGTGGGGACTGGGAACGCCAAGCGTGGGCCTGCAGCAAGAAGGGACATCTGACTTTGCAAAGCCTGGGCTTCCATCTCAGTACCAAGGAAGGAGGCCACAAGGTCTTTGTTTCAAGGGAGAAAAACAAGTTCAGTAAGTGGAAGACTTCAGCAGATGAAACCATCTGTGCTGCTGCCTGGACAGCAACTCCGAGTCCTGCTGAACCAACGCAAGTAACTGTGGACAGACTGGTCCAGATATACGAAAGTAAGATGAGGTAGATCTAGCAACTGATAACATCTAACCTTAGGCATCATCATCACCTAGAAGTCACCTAACGCTTACTTTCATCATCCTAACTCATGGCCACTTTGGCCTATTCTGAAGAGATACCGAAAGACTCAAAACCAACCCACCTACAGCTCTGTCCCACCAGTTTCTAGTAGTTGCTGTTGAGTGTTTTGCACAAAGCATACATCAAAACTCAAATATTTTGGAAAGCTGGTCTGAATTAGTGCCAAAAGCTAAAAATTGTTTGAATTGCTTGAGAGTCCTAACTCCAAAACAGCTGAGGTGGAAGTCTTATGGTTAGGCAGCTAGACTTTGAAGAGGCCTTTTCACACTTTGTGCCTCTCGATGTCATTCAAAATTACAAGAAAACTAGGGGCAGCTGAGAGTCTTTTTCAAACTAATATGAATTATTAAGGAGCTGCTATATTTGAAATGAGAAATTCTTGCTCCTATTCGAACAATATAAGTTATCTCCTACCATACCCAAACAGTGTTGTCATCACTACAAGCTTTTTAGGCTTTGCAGAAATGAGTAAAGAGAAAACATGACTAACTTGTGACATGACATAACTTTCTTGGCTGCAATGTGCAGACAAGATGGCCTTTTTACTCAAGTTTTCAATTAGTTAACTGGAAGGTTAACACATAGTTATCACAGACCAGTAGTCACAAATGTTAGTGTCCAACATAAAGGTAAATAAAGCCAATAAAAAATAGATATCATAATAGGCTAGTTAAATATAGACTAGGAAATACTTGGAACATTTCAAATATGGGGAAAAGGCATGTGAAAAGGCTTTATATATTCTCCAAGGCAATGTTCCTGGCACGCCAGTGCTCCCTTGGAGCCAGGCTCCACAAATAGGGTTACCAGTGTAAAAACACAGAGCAGGCCTTGAACCATGTTCTGCCTGTTACTGTGGGTTGTGCACAACAGTAGCTTTCCCCATGGCACAGAGTCCACCAGAATGAAGGTCTTCTCAAGACTACTATGCCACTAAGCCAGCCATGACCTTCTCAGTCAGCAGAAATGACTGAAATTGGGATTTCTCAAATACTCTGTCAACAACAGTTGATACCTGATACCATGTTTACCTCACTCTCTTGCAAGAGACAGGAACTATTTACCAACCACATTTCTTCATCTACTGTGTTGGTAACATCTGTGATGCTTAGCTATAGCTCTACTTGCCTCTTCTTCCTGTCTCATCCTTTAACAACTAACATCACATTGATGTTTTTTAGACCATAATTGACCTTACCATTAAAAACCAAGCTCTTGTCTACCTGTGGGTTCAGTCCCAAGAGGTTCACTCTATCATCTTTGAAATCAGTGAGAAGGCAAGGCCCTTGACATACAAGAGGTGCCTGGTCCTATGCTTAGTCCTGTTTGCCTTGGTTCCCATCCCTTGTGTATCCAGGGGATTGTACAAAAAATAAGTAATATTAACACACACATCTCCACTTCGTTCCTTTCTAAGCTAACACCAGCGATTCATCAAAGACACATGCTGTGGAGAGAGAGTTTTCCGTGGACTTGACTGGCCCACCTGTGACCGGCCACTTGAACAGCACAGCATCTCCAGTGAAGCCCAACCAGGCACACCTCCCAGCAAACAAGGGTGAGCACTTTTACAAACACATTCGTAACAGGAGCGGAGGGGAAAAGTGGGAAAGACCCAAGGGTTACTCTTCTTTTTCCAGTGGAGTTAAGTACCTGAGTACTTCTCAAGTGCTTTCACACCCACTTCTGAGTGTTTGGAAGTTGTTCTCACTTAGCAAGTTGAGACATTTGCCCTGGGAAGCAATTTGGTGATGATACTCCTAGCCTGGAGGCACAATCACCAGAAGTTATAGGAATAAAAGATTTCTGTGGCTGCACAACACTGAGGAATGAGAAGGTTCCCCTTCTCCTTCCACCTTGATATCAAGGAGCTTTGTGGTTATTGTGCATCTAGGAGGAAGCCACAGCTCTCTCTGTGGAACCCACTAATCTAAACGTCCCCATCTTTCCTCCAGATCCATCCCACAGTCTTTCTAAAAGGCACCATGGAAATCGAGGGAAAAGCTCTGGGGCCAGGCTTGCAGGTAGGTCTAAAGATCAACCAAAGAAAGAGAAAAATAAAACAAGTGGATGAAAGTTCATCAGAACCCCCATCCCACTCACCAGTAGCTGGGCTACATTCCCGTGGGTCCAGCTCAGTAGGAAACACCACACCTACCTGTATGAGAAATTTAATGATCAAACAGATCTCTTTGGGCCTGAGGAACAAAGGTGAGCAAGAACATGCAAATGCTTTGTCCCAGTTCATGAGAAGAAGCAGTGGTATTGCCTAGCACTGTTGTTTTCCCCCTGCCTTCCTATTACATATCAAAGAGTTGCAGAGTGAAGAAGTATCAAGAGTTGTATTCCAAGCAAGCAAGAAACACCTCATGTGGCCATTTTCAATAGATGGATGCTGAGTGGAACAGAGCAACCATAACGTGCTGAATTTAAGTAATTTTCCTGCTCTCCTGTTACCACTGATTTGCAGCAATATTAGAGGTGCTTTTTACAACAGTAGTAGGTGCTGAATTAGAAGAGCTATGGCAAATACATATTTGTTTTATATAATATCCTTTCAGGCACTAACTGGAAGACAGCCATGCTAGTCCTCAGCCCCCTGGCATTCATACTGGGATTAATAATACTCACCTTGAATGTTCATTACAACAAGTAAGTGAAGAGGAATGTTCTTCTGATTTATCACTTCCCATTTCAGAGTAAAATCCTTATCTTGGCATCCTCCCCACTCCTACACCCGAAAGGTTTGACTCTGACCAGATGGTTCTGGTCATCTCTGCCTTTAATTTCTGCTATCATCCTGCTGCTTCCTCCCACTTACTACCCCATCAAATGCAACCACTAATGGTGCCTCCTCCTGCTCTACATCACTGGTAACTGGGTTAAGGGAATTTGGGCGCTACAGCTGCTGACCCAGCTTGAGCACATAGGCAGCTACAGTCTCCTCTCCACTCTCCTAGGAAGAAGAAAATCCTGGCTGCTTTGAAGAGCTCCCCAGAGAGCAGCAGCAGAGCTGACTTGCAGGCACAGTCTCCCTTATGCAGAGGTGCCCAACCACAAACTCCACCGTCTCGCTCCCCTTCCTTGAGGCACGGGGAGATCCTCATCGAGTGGAAAGACGGGACCGTCACTCCTCTTTTTGATAACACCAATCATCAAATGGACTAGCTCTGCGCCTTGGATGATGTTACCATCTTTCCAAACAGGAGTGCTTCCTTAGAGGATTTTCTCCATGGCATTACCATTTGTGATTGGGAGTTGCAAAGGCTGTTTGTTTTTTTTTAACACTTGAGAAAAATCTCCTTGTGTGGCACAAAAGCAGAATGGCTTGTTTTATTTGCATAGGCATTCACTGCTTGGCTCTTTTGGAGCTAGTTTAACCCATGACAAGATGCAGATTTAGCTAAATGAAGCTCGGTATCACCTCAGCTGCAACTGCGCAGTCCTGAACGCTAGTGTTACTGAGTATGCAAGAAAGTAATTCCCCTGAGATGAGGAATAAGGTGAAAGCACAATTCCCAATGGATCTGAAATCCTTTCTAGCTTAAAACAAGCAGCCAGACCTAGAAATTTGGCAGAGATTTCTAGGTGAGAGAATGCACTGGGTAAGCACCGACTTCAGGACTCAAAGGTGAAAGGGTCTCCTCTAGGTATTTGCCTCCCATTGCCCCAAGTTACCAAGTAAGGAATAGGAAGATCATTTTGCTATATTGAAAAGGTACATCTTTCTCCTCTGCAATACAGCAAGACTGTTGCTGAGAGAAAGCCTGTTTCACAAAATATTTTTATATTTAGAGTGCACTAAACCTTGCCATGTCTTCTCCCCCGCACCCTTATGCAGAGCAACAGTGATATTTGGCAGTGACATTACCTGGCCGTTTTATACCAGTTTCCTATGGCCACATGCAATATCCAATGCATGGATACTCTGTCTGCATCTAGAGATGGGACCATTATTTCTGCAAAGGAGCATTGCACTTTTCTCAGCCTTTACATTTTTTGTAGGAGCATAATTACCTACCACCCATCACACTCAATCCTGATCTCTTCTCAGTGAAGTTAGCAACATCTTAGTTCCTTAATATTCACAAATTTATGCTTTCCTTCCCTCTGATCTTGTGACACTAAAAACCACAAAACGGGCTGTAAGTTACTTGGAGAATGCAACACTAACATTGGGAAAATACTGGTATGAGCTACAGCTATATACGTTCAAAACTGCAAGAGAAACTGTATCCCGACTTGTCTCTAAGCTCAAACCTGATGACATTTTACACCTAACCTAAATGACTTTATATACAGTTTCAGTGAAGCTTGGACTTCTCTACAGTTTGATTTTACTTAGCCTAAGACAAAAGTAAGGTGCATTGGGAATTTAAACTGTTTTTTTTTTTAACATAAATCCATGACCTAGTGAAAAATGAACTGCCACTATGAGAATTTAGTAGGTCTCAGAAAAGAAAATACAAACCTTATGGTTCGGGACACAGACTCATAGAGGTTATAAATGTCTTCCCCATGCAGATTATTCCATAATTATTCACTGCAGAGTTTCCCCACAGACCTTCCTTGGGTACATATTTTAGGACATAAGACAAGTGAAGAATTTCTTCTTCAACAGCAACTGACACACAAATACCATTCAGAATTCAATTCTGACTTTCTAATGCTTCCACCTTTAAAAAAATTAAAAGATGCTCATCCAAACTGTTAGGTCAAGTCTCCAAATATTTGTGCACAAAACTGGTTGAAATGCATTCTCTGCACAACCCTCTCAGGATGTATACACAGTGCCTCACTTGCCAACAGTTACACCCCTCTTACCTTCTTCCATCATGATTCAGATTCCCCTCTCTGAAGTTTTGTCCATGAACCCCACTACCCAACAATTTACAGCAGTTGTTACCCTCCCAAGTCTTGCTGCATTTTGGGAACTATATACACAGCGCCATGAAAACACAGAGACTCAGCTGGAGTTCAGCTAAAGCTGTGAAAATAGAAAGCACTTATGTTCATTACTGCTGAGCAGGCAGAACAGATTATTTGATAATAACACTAATTCACACTTAAATGGCAAATCTTGCTCAACCACCAATCCAGTAACATCATTGTTTAGAAAATATTCATTAAATACAGTAAATAACAGTAAAAAATAAGACTGTGAAGAAACATGGGCTTTTTGCTATTTGCTCCCCCTCCGTTTTTTAATTTCTCACTAGCTTATTTAGATTCTATACTAGAGACAAAACTCACCAGAGGATGGAGGGAGGTGAGGGTGTGATTCTTTATCACTAGAGGTCTCAAAAAGCACATTAGCCAAATGTCAATCAGGAGAGACACAGAAACAGCCCATTCTCCCCTGAAGAGGTGGATGGACCAGGTGACAGTTGGAAGGTGCTTTTCATCCTCCAAGAACCAGCTGAGAAACCTTCACCGCAGTTGCACCGCCTGTGTGCTCTTCACTGCCGTCTGCCGTCACTTGAATGTAACGTTTTTTAAGCAGTGTTCATAAATCAAAATAAAACCTGCCTTCAAAGCAGAGGAGCACTGGATTATTTATTTTTTTAAATACAAAACAGGATGGACAAGTGGGTTTTTATAAGTTACTCTACAGGAGGGAGGACATCAGTGCTGAGCAAGACATCACAGTCCTGGTGGCATCAACATGATTAACGCATGCTGTGCTAAGTGCTGAATGCTGCACATCTGGAGGGTTACACAGTGCTAAAGAGCAACCTATATTTTTCGGCCCAGTTCAGCTGCATCTCTGGCATCCTGGGTTCTTCTCCAGAGCCAGTGTGATGCTGATGACACTATCTCTTCACTCCAGCAGCGAGAAGGCAGACAGAGCGCCCATTTTCCCTGGAAATGACCAAATGCCTAGGCAGCTATGGCCCATGGAGACCAGAGGGAGAGGGGAAACACTTGTTTCCCCTCTAAAATTCCCCAAAACTCAAGGAAAAACAGAAAACAAAACAAAACAAAACAAAAAAAAAAAAAAAANAAAAAAAAAAAAAAAACAAAAAAAAAAAACAGAACCACCACCACCAACAAACCACTCCATTTGCTCACACAAAAGTGTTAGCATCAGCAGCATACTTTTTTGATATTTAGGTACCCAAATATACAGAAGATACTACACATTGCTATCAAGCCATACATGATCATACAAAGCACCAACTGGATCAATTCCCATTGATATAAAGGAAGTTCAGATATATCCCCAGGGGAGCAGATGCAGGTGAGCTCACCGGCACCAACAGAGGCTCCTGTGATCATCAGCATGACGACACGTGGGTGCAGCCTGCAGCCACTGAAACCCTGCTACCATCAAACTGATGCAAGACTGCACGTTAGCTTGGGAATTTGGGGCAGAAATCGGGGCTCCAGGCAGCAAGAGAGTTCATTTTCCCCTCTGTATGGCCAACATTACTGTTAGAGAGCAAGGTGGCAAAAATAAAAGGCAAAGAAAGACAACAACTTTGAATTTACCTTTTAAATACTTTATGTCAACTGTTTACTGAGTTTCCATGGATGGAAACTGCTTTTATAACAGTAGATTAATGATGTACAAACATTCATAAAACAAAGACCTGAAATGACAGGACAAGTTATTACAGCAAATCAAAGAAGGTGCCACAAACAGAACTGTTGCTGCCCTATTTGAAATGCAATTTTTTAAGTGCAACTTTTGCAACAAGTATTTGTTATTAATTATCTCCATACGCTCATTTGCAGACCCCTGTAGTTCTAACATCAGCAGCTCAGGAGATGCCAAGCATTTCAGTTTCAAGAAAGATCCATCCTTGCTCAGCACTTAAAAAGAGAGAACACAGAAAGTCTTTGTTAGCTGTGCTTTCAATCGAGACATCTCTGGCTTACGGTCAAACCAGACCATGCTATTCCACACGAGCTAGAAAAGCTAGGGGACACAAAAGCAGAAGACTCTGAAAGCTCCAGGTATCTTCATTGAATTTGTATAGATTAAAAAAAGCAACCTACATTTCTGCAGCCATCCAACTCTATTCATTCCCCCAAAAATAATCAAGTCGTGTTTCGTTAGAAGCTTCCCTTATCCTCCATAAGGCATTTATTTTCTGGAGCAAAGAAACTGATGAGCATCTTTCAGCATCGCTTGCATATCCTCATATTCAGCAAATTTGCAGGCATCCTCCAGCTTGAGCCACTGGAAAGCCTGGTGCTCCTCGGAGAGCTTGATCTCCGTGTTAGAGTCCTTCATTTCTGCCAGCCAGTAAACGACCGTCTTGGGTTTGCCGTTGACTGGGTAGTGCAGCTCCTTCCTGTAGCCGTCGACGAGGGCGAGCTGAGCGGCCTGCAGACCGGCCTCTTCGCGGGTCTCCCGCAAGGCTGTTTGGAGGTCATCCTCTCCTGGATCCACGTGGCCTGCAAGAAGATGAAAAATAAGTCTTGGGTAGGAAGCATTTTTTTGCCTTTCAGTTGACAATGAGGTAACATTGCTATTTTAAAAGTAAATTTCCAAGAAAAAGTCTTCAGCCACTGGACTCTCACCAGAGGACACAGACCCAAGAACAACACTCTCAACACTGCTTTATAACAAAGAAAAAAACTAGGCTCTCCACACACCTGCCTTATTCCAACACATCCTAAACTAGCACAAAGCTAATCACGGAGAGGGAGCCCCTTCCACTGGAGAGGTGAATTAATTCATTTACATAAGGGAAAGAGGGAGTTGTCTCAGATCTTCATCCTTGACATGGCTGTACTTCAATGGTAGATCAAATGACTACGTATTCCAAGATGTTTTATGTCTTAGAGACTTCTCAGTACAAAATTGAAAGACTAAAGACACCAAAATGGTCTCATTCTCCTATATTTGGCCGCTTAACAGGCTGGTACTTTCATTCTTCTTCCATAAACCCCTCTGAAAGAGGGCAAACCCAAAGCCAGACCTTTCACCAGCTGCATAATCCTCTAAGGCTCCCCTCCTCTATTACTTAAAATGAGAGGTGCCATAACAAACAATGGATAAATATAACATATCCCCAACGGTTCATACTCTTGTTGAGAAAAGTCAGATTTGGGTTTCTCATGAAAGTTTGGGATGAACAGAAATAGAACTAGCCAGGAAAGATCCCAAAAGACCAACATATAAGGAGTTGGGGAGTTTTGGGAAAAAAAAAAGAGAGAGAGAAAGAGAAAACTTTCCTGGTTTAACACAATTTTCTATGTAGGTGCCTGCAAATGACCGAGATTTCAGCACAGAGATGAATCTTTCCTCAGGTCCTAGGTATCCAAAGTCATCGTTTGGCACTAGGACTGGACTAGATGGGAATTCCCTGCTCTGTTCCAAAAGGCTCCATTCACTTGCTTGCCTGTGTACCAGGGGACAAGGAGGAATTGAAATTATTTCTGTGTTGTTTTTCTCACCAGTACAAGGCCTACAAGGCTGTACAACCAAATTTTGACTCTCTCATGCATCTTTATAACACAAGATGTTGCTGTGGGCCCTGGGGCACTGCGAGGCTTCTTATCTCTCCTTCAGGCCTCACTGGTGGGTAACAAAGGCTAATAAGGCTACATCTCCTGGCTGTTTCTCTCTGCTGCACGAGTTCTTCCTATCTCATCAATCACCTCCTAAATTTTAAGTTATTTTAAGGTGAGTCATCATCAGTTTGTCACCTAATGTTGTGCTGCAAGTCATGACCACTCTGACCATGATCAAATACCCCTGCAACAACAATAGTGGTGCCTGTCAGGCGGTTGGGTGGGAGCTGGAAGGTGGTAACTTGTCTCCCTACCCACTTAATCAGCTGCTGAACACGTGACAAAAGCTTCAGACATCTGAATGATCAGGGCTGGGTGACCTTCCCCTCGTAAACTGTCACACCCAGGCATTCATACAACTCTATTTAAGGAATTTATGCCACAAAACCCTCCGCTCCGCTGCTGCAGAAGCCCATCCCTGCTGCAGCTGCCCGACTGAACTGCCCACAAAGCTGAGCGCAGCAGCGTTAGGCCAACGGTCAGCCTGCAAGGTCCCCAACGCAAGCCAGCGCATTCCCAGGGCATTCCCAGGGCACACGTCACCTTTGGGAGGGGTCCAGTGGTGGCTCCCGTAGGACGTCTGCAGCAGCAGGTACTCGATGTTGTCGGCGGCCTTCGGCGGCAGCCTCCGGTAGACGATGAGGCCGCAGGCCCTCACGGCCATGTCCCCGCCGTGGCGGTCGCGGGAGCGCCGAGGATCTGGCGGGAACAGCCGGGTTGCTCACACAGGCAAGGCGGATTTAACCAAAAAGCACCAGTTAAAGACTAAAAATCCCCTCCCGGCACTTAGTGCCCCGCTCGGTACCCCTGGAGCCACCCCGTGAAGGCGGCAGCGCGACACGGGCTGGGGCAGCAGCTCCAAGGGGCGCCTGGCACACGGGCGGAGCAGGGCCTAATTAGCAGCAATTAGCGGCACATCCCTGCACCGCAATTAGCGGCCTACCCGGGCCGGGCGAGCGCTTCTAGGCGCGTACAGACCAGGACCACACGCGTGAGGGTATGGACGGCAGGAACCCACTTAGAGCACTGCCAGCGCTGGCCACAGCTCTGCGCTTGGACAGAGGCTTTAACAGATAAAACATCTTTATCAAATAAAACATCTTTAACAGATAAAACATCTTGATCACATAGAACATCTCCACAACGCTGCTGCCGTCCCCCCGCCGGGGCCGCCCCGCCTCGGGCACCGCCGCGTCCCGCCGGCCCCGAGGCGCCGCAGGAGGCAGCGCGGCCCTCCCTGCCCGGCCGGTACACAACGGGCGCATAACGGGTACACAACGCTCCATAACGGGCGCATAACGGGACCGCGACACCCGCACCGCCGCCATGGCGGCCGCGGCCCTCACCTTCACCTCCGCCGCTGCAGTGGGCGGGCTCGGCGCCCGAGTGGCAGATGCCTCTGCCAATCACAGCGAGCGGAGCCACCCCCTTCCATACTCTCTCCTAGCCCCCGCCTCCTCTCTCTGCTCGGAGCCTTTGGATTGGTTCTGCCGTGTCAGGCCCCGCCTCTTTGCCTGCCTCCCCCTCGTCCCATTGGCTGGCTGCGGGCGCCAGCGTTTGAAGCGGGAAAGGCGCCGTTGCTATGGGGACGCGGCCTAGACGCCTGCGCGGGGGCTGCGGCGGGCGGTGAGTGGCGCCGCGCGGGCCGGGCCGGGCTGGGGCCGGGAGCCCCGCAGGCCGCGGCTGCCGCTCCGCGGGGGCTGCCGTGCCCCGGGCCGCCGCCTGGCGCCGGCGGGTCGCGATAGGGGCGGCCGCGGGGAGGAAAGAAGTGAACCCGGGACGCGGCGGCTGGGGGTGGATCAAGGGCGGCGAGGCCGCGGTGCGGGCCCCGGCAGCGCCCCGCAGCTGCCGCCGCCTTGGCGCGGCCCGGGAGGCGGGCGGGGGAGGCTCCCGCTGCCGCCTGCGCGCTGCATTCGGCTGTTTGTTCATCCTGCAGCTCACTATTAGCGGCAGAGACGCGTCGCGCGTGGGCGCGGCGCCACAGCCCGGCGCGTGGCGGGGTTTACCCACCCGCAGCGTGACCGGAGCATCCCCGCGGCGGGTGATACGCAGAGCCTTCCTCCAGCGGGGAAAACCACGGACACCAAGCTCATCGCTCCGGGAATCTGGAGCCTTTCTAGTTCTCTGAGTATTTCCAGGGAAATGCCAAGTTTCTCGCTGTGGGGCCGGTGAGTTTCTCGCCACGGGGGCAGCCGCAGGGAGCGCGGCCTGCCCGGGTGTGCAGCGGTTGGCCCCCGCGCAGGAGCAAAACTAAATAAAAACCCAAAGCCGTCTGGTAAATGTTGCTCCCGAGGGGCGCTCGGGCACAATTTTCAAATAATCGGCATCCTAATATAACCCTCGGGTTATTTTTCCTAGCTGTGGTTGAATATTGGACACTTCCATTTCCATGCAGCTGCTCCGAGCAGCTGTCACGTATTGGCCGTGGAGTCTCCTCTGCTGAGGTCACTGGGCTATCATTAGCGCGGGATAAGGGCTGTAGCAATTACTAGCCCTTTGCAAATTAAAAAAAAATGAAAACACTCAAAAAACCCCCAAAACCTCCACCCACAACAGCTTTATTTTAAAAATCGAAAACCCCTCCCCACAATATTTATTTGTGACTTCTAAGTCTGTTCCAAAAAGCATCAAGATTAACCATCACTCCAGTACTCAGCTCTACATTGGACACACCAGCAGCAAAGGCAGGAGGAATGCTGCTGAAGGGAGAGGCATTCTTTTACACAGTCCAGCTATAAAACATTTATCAGCTAACATTATGCATATTCTTCCCTTTCCAATTGTTTTTTTTTATACAGATACTACACATGGTTGTCTGTCACTAGCTAATTTTGTTCAAAGTGGCCTGCACTTGTTGCAGCAGCCATGGGTATTTAATCCATATTTTGCATATGCTGCATAGTGTAATCCTGTGATCTGATCAGTGTTTCAAACTTGGTTTTATAGCTCACTATGTATTGCATTTGGTCTTCAACTAAAATTGTGGTTTTCTTTTGTAGCAGAGATCATGTCTTATTATAAGTGTTTTACACTTATAAAGCTACAGTTATTCCCAGGAATACCCTTATATTTGAGGGAAGAGGGGTCCAAATGATTAGAGGTAAAACATTTTGTGTGGTGTCCTAGAAAAGCAATTGAGCCATTCTCTCTGAAAGGCTAAATCAAACTTGGATATGGACTGCAGTTAAAAATGAGCTTAATATTCAGAGGGATAAAAAACATAGGTGAGTAAATATTGACATGGGTTAATAAGTCTCTCTCTTCCCTTTGCAGGATTCTCAGGGAGGATTGATTTCATTCTTCTATACTTCACAAAACATCAAACACCTTGACACAAAGCTTGTGCTGCAGACGTGTTTGAGGTAATGTGGCTACAAGTAATGGAGTACAATGCACTGTGATAGAGATGTGATCAGGAGAGGAGGCATAAGCACCCACTACACGTGTTTAAAAATTGAAGTTCTTAAGCTTTATTTTAATGAGGTGATTGTAAAGCAAAGGGTGCTTCAGTGTTTGACACCAAACAAAGTCATAGGTGGGAAAATCAAGTGCTGCTAAGGTTCAAAAATTATTATTTCTGTCTAATGCCTTTGAAAATTGTTCCTAATAAAATGACTTGATGATTAGACCAGAGTTTATGATTCAGAATAGTAATCCTAGATTATTTGCAGTATTGAAGATCTAGTTGCACTAATTGACATTTTAAGGTTTTGAGTGCTACATAAGGTCACTTTATTTTGCCATGAATTCATTTCCCTGCTTTAAAATATCGTTACGGTGAATCTTGCATCATGTCTCATCCGGTAAATGTTAGTGAGCTGTAGGGGGTAACATGGATGTGCAGGTGGCTATTAAATAGTGCACTGATGTTTTTGCTATAGCAGAAATTAGTGACTAGTATAGTCACTAATTTAGTCATAATCACAGTGACTTACAGCCACGGATCATCTTTTCGAAAGCTTTTTCTGCACTTTGAAAAGCACTTTGTGAGTGAAAAGATCTGTGTAAGGGCCAATTAATAATTAAAAGCATTTTGAAGTGGAAGATTAGCTCCTAGAGCAGAATTTTGTGGTAAGTTTATTCCCTTCAGTATATATAAAATATAGCCACTAGTTTCTACTATACATACCCTTTTGCCATTCTTCCCTGATGACATACTATGAAATTAATCTGTGTTTTGAGTGGTCCCTTTATATTGAATTCCAGTGCAGTTTCCAATGGATGTTTACTCATTACCAGAGCCTAGCAGACTTCTAAGATATTTTCTAGACTCTTTTGCATAAGAAATAAGTTGTGGAGAACTCAAATTTGCCACATAAAGACAACAACTGATGGATCCCTAATCCAGATATCCCAATATTTAGATTTATGTGTTTCATCTTTAGGGGTACCATCACTACCTGTTACTCCTTCCAGCTATCTTGCTTATTTTTAAGGAAAATGCTTTGGTCTTAACAAGTTTCACTGTTTGCACGACTAACCTGCTGCAGCACCTTCTTATCAGAGCAAAAGCAGGTCCTGTATTTGAGAGGAACGTGAATATTTCATAGAGAAACTGAATCCTTCTCCCAGTTAAAATGAGAACATCAACCACTGAGCTGTAACAAATTATACTTTGCGTTACAATACAGATTCAATGAAAAATTCCTAAGGCGGAGGCAATTTGGCCTTGTAATTGGGTGGTTGTAGAAAATTCTGCTTCCAAATTGACTTCCTTCTTCCCCTAAGCATATGTTAGATCCAGCTATTTTAAGAAGTTAAAGAAATTAAAGTCCATTTTTCAGGGAAGTCACCAGTCTTACTGGAAGCAAGACTTGGGCTTTGCTATGAAACAATCACTTTGAGGAATGCTGTGGTTTCATGCACCAGACAGCAGTGTAGTCTCACGTGAACAAACAAGGTTAGATTCTGGCTGTTACTCATTGCAGAGAGACTGCTGGCTGTTACTCATTGCAGAAAAGCAAAAGTTTTCCCCCTTTTTGCCAGAAGATGGCATGAGCATTAACAGTTTAGAATTCTTGAATGCATTCCTTGCTTCTTTACAAAGCTAATTGCTTTGAAGAATTGTATTTCTGTTCAAGAAGCAGTATAGGTAGGGTTTTTTATGTCTAAAATATTAGGTGAATTCCCTTGAATTACCTTTTATTTGAATCAGACAAAATATTTTAGAAGACTCTATGCTTGAGTTTTAAAATGATCAGAAACGATGGAACATATCATGACTTAGTCTGTTTTTTCCTAAGGTTAATTAACTTGTTAGACCTTTATCAGCCAATGTTAAATTATCCTGGATTGTGAAATAGTGTTCCATAAATGGAGAGACACTGTAGTTAGCTCCTGGAACCACTTAGATCCAGTAATATTTATTATATCTAGGGGCAGAGAAAGTACTTTTATTACTTTCAGGCCTAGCTTCCCTTAAAAAAATAAATGCATAGTAATTTATGGTTATTTAATTGTGGGTAATTAATTGTTTCCACCCTTGTCTGTTGCTTACACATTGAAAAAAATCTCTCCCTTTTCTTCTTTCTTTTTTTTTTTCCTCTCCAGAAGGTTGTGCCCAACATAATCATTCAAGTAGAAGTTAACATGGAATTAGATTTTGCACATTTTATTGGTTTGTACTTAACTGAAGCTTATGCAAGGACGTAAATATAGCCTAGAATACGGAGCAAGAATGAGTGAGAGGAATCTGCCCCTTTTATCAAACAAAAGAGTTTTCCTGCGGCAGCACAAAAATCATATTTTCAGAGGACCTGTTTTATCTTTCAGGATACCTTATTTAAGGTGCATTTTTTTAAAAAATATAACTGTTCTCTAAATAAAAACTGAAACTCTTGTGCAATTGTAGATGATAAAGACTTTGGGAAATGGTGAATGTTTGTAAGAGGTTTTGTATGTGTGTAATGGTTAAACTCTGTGATCTTTGGCTTCATCATCCTCATTGTGGATTTTGTTTTCCCCTTGCTCAAAAATAATCACAGCAGCAGCAGCAGCTCTGGCTTTACCTCAAGGCTGTGGCATCAAATGTGCATCAAAACGTCTGCCTGTAATAACGCCTGTTTTGTCTTGAAATTTGTTGCTGCTGACTCACATAATTTTATTATGGTTAACCACCATTTACAACTTAGGCTGTCTTATGAAATTGTTTTAGTTGGCTTCTACATCTTTTGGCCTCTCTCATATCTTATGCAAACAGCATTTTGATATAATCTTTATTGCTTTGTTGTTATAATTCCACTTGTGTGTTTAATAACTTTAATACATAAAACCAACCTTGGAGTAATATGTAATGACCTTATTTTCTTATTTTCCATTTTACAGAATAAGTAAAATATCTGCCAGTATTAATCCAGCTGGTTACAAACTGCATCAAAATGTATTGTTGGGAATAGATGTGTTGATTTTTTTTCACTAACTTTTCAGTCATGCATGTCAGTTTTCTGGGCTTCCCAAGAACACAACACAGACTCCCAATTGTATATATAGATTTAGATAAATCCTGTGTTTCAGGTTTTGCATAATGTTTTGGATATTCTGTCACATACATTTAGAATTGCTCGCAAGATGCATGAAATTCCGTAGAATTTCACACTTAAGGGAAACACAAAACTACAACTTAGCTGTAATTCATCTGTAAGATCTTGGAACAGTCTTAATAACTCAATCAGAGTTGAGGACAAGTGCAATTCCTTTCCTTTGGTTAGTTAAGCAGGGATAGCTGCAGAACCACACCAGACCACATGCCCTGATATTAAGTTGACTAGCTAAAATTAGGCATTTTACATTCTGTAGCTTAAGGACAGGGTTTCAGTAGCTGTGGCATTTATCGAGTAGACATCAGACGTGTAGGAGCTCAGCTGCAGTAAGTAAATGTGTATTGTGCACTTCTCTATCATTTTAAAATGCAGTTTCCTTTGGGGAAATGTGTAGTTATTTCAATGATAACTTTATTAGCCGTGATATTTCATACAAATCTAATATTTCCTTTATTTGATTTCTTGTAGACTTTAGCTTGAAGATGGCCTCGTGCCTTTATGAGTGCCTTTGTGAGGCAGAACTTGAGAAATACTATCCCCATTTTGCTGCTTTTGGCCTTCAGAAGATCGACGAGCTTGCCAAGGTTTCCATGAAGGATTACACCAAACTGGGAGTCCACAACATGAACGACCGCAAACGTCTGTTTCAGCTCATTAGAATAATCAAAATTATGCAAGAGGAGGAAGATATCGCAGACTTAAACAAGCAAGATTTCCAAACAAGTGGCCTTGTTGTTGAGCCTCAGGCGACCAGATCTGGTCCCCGCAGACAGCTGCATTTTGAGTCCTTCTTTGAGAAAAATGCTGGAGCTGCTAAAGACTCTGAGCCTGAATCCTATGGGCCATCTGATTTCTGTACCAGTGACGAAAGGGACAGTCTAGTGGAAATGCTGGGACACATTCCACCACACGATTCAGAGCTCCTTAGAATAACTAGAAGAGACCTAAATACTCCTGGAATATGCACAAAAAGTGAACTAGACCAGTCTACAGTATCTGATGATATTGCTCCTCTCTTGGGGGATTCTGAAACCCCCATAATACAAAGAATAACTCATATTTCAGGGTATAATTATGGACTACCTCATTCTTGTATCAGGTAATAATTCATCCCCTTTATTTTACCATATTTCAATGTTTCAATGCTTCAAAAATAGTAATTTTGGCAGTGGTGAGGAGATTCTGTCTTTATCAATTTCAAATACACAAACTGTAACCCTACTAAGGTTGCATAGAATGCATAAGGTCTTATAGGGAGGAGATGTTTTAACACTCCATACTCTCCACCTCCAGTAGAAAGAATCAGTTGAATTCACCAGCTGCTACTTTCCAAGTTTGTCTAAGAATGTTTTGGCCAGTCTTTTTTTCTCTTTTTTTTTTTCCCCATATGATTTTCTTGCCAAATATTAATTTCCAAAGTATAACGTTGCCTGCTGATGGTAAATCTGCAAAGCTCAGTAAAAACGATGCATACCCTGATAGTTATATTTGTATATACATTTCTGGACTAGAGCTTTAAAAAGAAACAGAACGTATAGAACGGGACTGGATAGAGCCAGTGGTGAGAGGGAAGCTTTGCAGCTGCTCCCTGAGCACGTGCTCTGCAACATTCACCCCGTTCCCAGTATTGCTAACAGGGGGGCTACAGTTATCCTGACCCCCTGGAAAATCAACCTGGGAACATTTTTAATGCACAATATAACTTTGATTGGCTTAGGGTGGTTAAGACCTTCTGCAGGCAAAGGAGCTGGGTGAGGTGCTGGGAAAGATGGAGTGTGGGAGGATCCGTGGAGTCAGGGTTGATCAGAGCTTGGATGCACAAAGCCTGGATGGAGCAGATGCTGCTGCCGTGGTGGGAAAGCGCTGGGTGCCTCACAGTTAGAGCACGTGCTGTGAAATGAGAGATCAGGGCTTAGAACCGGGACAGGTTTCACCCCTGCCACTCCTGCCTTTCAGAGCAGTGCACTAACCTAGGTATAGGCTTGGCGTCTTGGTGCATTTGGTGTCCCCTCTGAAGACCAAGCCATGGTGCAACAGATAGAGCAGAATGCACAGGGCTGGAAAGTGAAAAATAAAATATAGCCTAACAGACCAGCTGGAGGGGTTTGGGATGCTGACTCCTGCAGCAGAGCCAAGCTCTCCATTGTTCTCACTTTCTCCCCTTGTTCTGAGCACATTCCTCTGTGCTTAGCACTGGGGTTCAGCCCGTGGGCTTCCCGCATCCTCCTGACATGCCTGAGTGTCTCTTTCCCACTTGGAGTGCAGAGCACATGCTCGGCATTCCAGGCTTGGCGCCAGCCTGCCCACACTTGGGCTGGTGGCTCCTGCCCCGCGAGTGTCCGTCCACCCGGAATCCCTTCCCAGGTCACCTTGGGATTCGATAAATCTAGTTAAGACAAATCTAGTCTCACCTACAAGTAACTCTGGGTAGTGGGTCAATTTAAGACTGAAAAAAGGTTAAATAACTTTTAAAATATGTTTAAATGTATTTTCCATTTGCCTACAACAAATCACTTGATTTTCATGTCAGCAGATAGGACCTGGGGTTCTGCTGAACCCCATGTTCTGCCTCCGTCCAAGCAGGTTTCTAACAATCTTGAGTGTTTTTTCCCTAATAATATACAAATACATCTTGTCATAAAATGTAATTTCTATTTTTTAATAGAAAATGAAACTTGAAGTTCAGCATGAAGAATTCAAACATACTCTGCCCCTGTAAAAGATGCTTGCAATTAATTTATGCCGTTTCTGGCATAAACAGAATGACCACAATTTCAGTTTTTCCATTCTCCAAATTTTGAAATCTGTCCTTTCTCCCTGAAGCTCCAAAGCTTTCCATGTAGGTCACCAAATTCAGCCACTGGTGAAATGAGAAGTCAACTTCAGTGTCTCATCATTTGTTGGCAACATCTGGTGCCACTGATATCCATCAGCTTATAGTGGCTTATGAGCCAAAGTATCTTATTTCAAGTATCTTGATCTTTCAGGGGAAAGAAGTTCCCATCTAAATACAGGATCTGATCATGATCGGCATAGGAAAACCAGGCTAAAATTATTGGGAATACAGATTCAAGAAAAAAATCCATTTTGTGAGCTCTTTGAAGACTACATCTGGAGATCTGGGCCTGCATATTGTGTGCCCTGGGGACTCATGCAGCACAGCAGCAATGACATTACAAGCTTGTAGTTGTAATGGGATATTGAATATCTTGTGCATTTACTATCCTTTTGTTTTAATTTACTAGACAACTAGTCTATATTTAAAGACAGTAAACTAGTTAGTAAAATAGTCTGGTTTTAATCATTAAGGGATTGGGGAAGGGCATTTGGATAGCATGGCAGAGATGGTGCTCTCAGCTAAGTCAAGGCTTGATTAAATTGTTTCTGACAATTTGACATTCAAATCCAGGCAGAAAACCATTATTTACTTGGTTGAAGACAGCTTGCAAAAGGGAAAGGTGAAATGAGTACATTTCAGGTAAATTCAAGTATATTCCTTATGCAGCCTCACAAAATGATTTACCCAGCAGTTCAATTAATATAAAATGAGAATTGACTTCATGCATCCGAGGTGTTTGGAAGGGAACTAAAATAGACTTGCCAAAACACAAGAGCACAACTTTGCCTGCTCTCCAAAAGAGCATAATCTTATGTTAAAAAGAATAAGCTGGATAGAAGACCAAAGAGGAGATAATGAAGAGATGGATATTTCAAGTTTTCTTTGAAGTGAATAAGAACGGGGTAGCACTGTCTGTCTGAGTTCCTGATCTGAGACACCTGCTTGCAACATGCCTGGCAGCTTATAATTGAATGAATGAAAGTCGATATAAGGGGAAAAGCAACTAAATATTCTTCTCAAGATCTGTTCATACTTTTATCTGTTAACAGAATTAAGGAGCTTATAATTGCTGAGAATAATTTCAGCAAGAAAGTTTAAAGTTGTATGTTTTGCCGGTTTGGAGCATATGTTTCTGGACAAGTGAAGATATGCCAGTCCAGCAACCAGCTCAGGAACATAACTGTATAAACATTACTGTTATTTTAATGAAGTGCACAGAAGTCATTAGTCTTTATAGAAAAACAAACAAAACCAAGTAAACAGCAGAATCTGCACCATGTCACAATGAGACTTTTTTGGGTAAGTATGACAGAAACATTTATCTGGTAAAGCTAGAAATCCAAGTTATAGTTATGTATATTCTGCAACGTGTAGTAACCTCATTTTAAAATACGAAACTTCAATGTTGTTGTAGATCGAGCACCTCTGAGAAGGAAACTCCGTGGACAGAGAGTGAAAAAATCCGAGTGTGTGTCCGAAAACGTCCCCTGGGCCTGAGAGAGGAGCGACGTGGGGAGGTCAACATCATCACAGTGAAAAATAAAGAAACTCTACTCCTTCATGAGAAGAAGGAGGCAGTTGATCTCACACAATATATTTTACAGGTAATATGCTGCATTTACATTTTATGTTTATGGGCCAGTCCCTTGCATTGTGGGATAAAGCAAGTTGTGCTAAGGATGGACACGGACAGGCGTCACCGTGGGATTTCACTGAGGGGAAACAGAAAAGGGCAGTTGTATTTCTTGCATAAGATAGTTGGTGAGCTCTTCTATCAGCTCACCTTGACTATATTTGAATTGCTCCTGATTTGTACCAGCTTGTGGCAGAAAACTTGAGAATTTTACATCCCCAAAAGCATGTCTTTCGCAGCTTGCTTTGCCTATGACAAAATAAAACCCTCTCCTAATGCCATTGTTGCAGTAGAACTGCCTGCTGCTGAGTTCCCTAAAAGCTTCCCAGGGTGCTTCAGTGAGGAGTTCCCTTTTCGTGCTACTTCAACACTGTAGTTTGTTCCAATCAATCACTTGTTCCTTCACCCCCTTCCCTTTCTAATTCTCAAATGCTTCTGAAAATTAAGTTCTCCTTTTGCCTTTGTTTCTAAATCCCAAGGATCTTGTGCTGTCATAGTTCAAATTCTCAGTTTTGACCGACAGCACCAGAGACAGAACTAGTTTCTAGAGAGCAGCAAGCCCCACTCTCTCTGCTCAGTGTGTTATTTTTACAACATGCGTCCCGGGAACAACTGTTCAGAGTATCCAGTAAAAAATCAGTTTGCAGCTCCCCCCAGCCTGGTTCATATACCACCTTTTACAGAGCGATACATGCAGCCATTCCTCTCCACTCCCTCCTCTATATTTGGCATTTGTGTGGTGCCTGTCACCAGGGTGTCCCAGCACTGAAATAACTGCTAATTTATTTTGTTCTGGTAATAGAAATCTTACTCTAAATCAACATTGGCCAATCAGGCAGGCATGGCAGGAAGGCCACATCCATACTGTGTATCTGTGTAATAACTTCTCCTCTTATAATTTGTCTTGCAGTGTGGGTGAAGGGGAAGTGAGACGTGTGCCTTTTCATGTAAAGATCATGTTTATTTTTCAGCATGTTTTTTATTTTGATGAAGTCTTTGGGGAGTCCTGTACCAATCAGGATGTGTATATGAAGACAGCTCATCCTCTCATTCAGCATATTTTCAACGGGTAGGGCATCACTGCATACATTTTTATTTTCTACCTTTTTGTTTTCCAATTTCATGTCGTGTTTTAATTTTCCTTTTACTCTTTTCATCTTTTGCAAGTACATTCATTTCTCCTTTCTCCCATGTCATAGAATCATAGAATCATAGAATGTCGAAGGTTGGAAGGGACCTCAGAGGTCATCGAGTCCAACCCCCCTGCTCACGCAGGGTCACCTAGAGCACGTGGCACAGGGCTGCATCCAAGCGGGTTTTAAAGATCTCCAAAGAAGGAGACTCTTCCTTCCCATTTAGATTGCAATTTTGACAAAATAAATCAGGGAAAAAAATTCTTCACATTCAGTGGGAAGAAATGGAAATTGGGAGCTATACCAAGGAGACAGGATGGCCTATCTAGAAGAAAACAAAACAAAACAAAAGAGGTGTCAGGATTCCTGGAGTCTAAGTTCTGCGCTAACTAAGACTTTTGTGTGGCATAGAACAAACTGTCTAATGCCTTGATTTACTCCTCTGTAGAGAAATAATATTAGCTCTTTCACAAGGTGATTGTGAGGTAGTTTTGCCTGCACTTGTACAGTTCACATGGAAATAGAAACTGCAAGAAGCTTGTGGTTTATTTTGATTTTATTGATTTCTATTTTTAGAGGGTTAATTGTAATTACATGCTTCCTGATTAACGGCAAATTGATGGTGACTGTACATAGATAATCTTATTTTCATGCAATGTAACCAGCTTGAATATAATTATATTTTGAATCTTTAAAGGCAAGAATGACATGTCCGTGCTGAGCACTGAAAAAATGAGTTTTGTGTTACTATAATTCTCTACGTATCATCAGCAGAGAAACACAGCATCATGCTCTTGAGGAAAGACAAATGGAAGAGGGAGAATAAGGCTTTTTGCCTGCTCTATAAGAATCACTAAAGACAGCGATTCACATTACAGCAAGGCTGCTGTTTTTTCTCAGCTTCCCCTTGAGGGATTTGCAAGGCTGCAGAGCCATAACCCGAGACCTGCTTGATATTTTATTTGCATCATTCTTATAACATTAAAGTGACATGACAAAAAAGATGCCATAACCTGGAATAAACTGAAGCAGTGTTTTAGGTCCCCTCAGAGCTGAAGTGAGGGTACCTGACAGCTCTCTGACACTGGAAGGGAATGATCACCTTCCTTTCCCTCTACCTAACCACTCCCATGGGTAAAATGAAGCCAGTTTTGACATGTTTTGTGATCCCACAAGAGTTTCTTTACTCCACTGAAATAGCAGAAAAATAATCTGAGAAAAAAATGGGAAGCTTTATGTCATTTCAGTAACATAAAATCCAACGTCAGAACGAGCACAGAGGATGCTGTAGGTCACACAACTAACAGCAGAGGAATGGAAGGGCAAAACCTTCCCCTGGGCAGCAACAAGTTGCCAGATCGACTTAGCTGCATGCAGGGCTGCAGCTTGTGATAAACTAACTTTGCTCAGTCATTTACTGTGCTTGGGCTATAATTTTGGAGAATACTGTGTTAATACAGAACCTGACTTATAGCTGTTTCACACTTCTGTCACGGGCATTTTTTGCTGTGATTCAGAATCAAAAGGATTCTCATTCACAATCCTGCAATATCTCTGTAACATCTGAACAGTTGGAAAAATATTAATGTGTGAGCTTCTGTAAAGGCATTTTTGGCATCAGGAAAGAAGGAGGAGATCCAGCACTCTGTGACATGCCAGCTCTCCACGGGATGTGCTCGGGAATCGCTGTGAAGAGTTTTGCAGTTTCCCAGATGGAGATGCAAACTGAGCCTCATAGCTGAGGGTTTATGTATTTGCATTGCAGAATCCCTTTTAATCGACATGAATACAACGCGGCACTAAAAATACCATTTGTCATTCCAGAGGCAATGCAACCTGCTTTGCATACGGACAGACTGGTGCTGGCAAGACCTACACTATGATAGGTACTCACCGGAACCCAGGCCTCTACGCCTTGGCTGCCAAGGACATCTTCAGGCAGCTGGAAGCTCCACAGTCAAGGAAGGACCTCCTTGTCTTAATCAGTTTTTATGAGATCTACTGTGGACAGCTATATGACCTGCTAAATGGAAGGAAGAGGTATTTAAGTAAAGAGACATATTGCTGTAAAACTAGGGTTATGAGTTGATGGGTAGCTGCTTATAAATCACTTTGTTATTAATTTGGGCAATTGCRTTTAATGTATTACCATTTGTAATCAATTTTACATATTTATTTAGGGTTGTTTCTGGGAGTGAGTCAGTGAGAGGACAGCAAAATCTGGCACCAAATACTGTTAGGGACTTGTGGTTTGTGTTATTTTTATGGGGCTAAAAGACACGTAAAAATGAGGGCCCTGTCTGAGATAGGAATTCACACTGCTTTGCTTACAGTCCACTGTGCATGAGGGAACAGCAAAACATCTGCATGCAGAGAAGGAGCCTTCCTGTTGCCAGAAGTCCTTCTGTTGACCGCTGCTGTGTGGTCCCTGCCTTCCCTGTGCTTGAACACAGCCTCTGGGTGTCCCTCCTCTGCACAAATGGGGCTTGGGCGCTTGTCACTRCCCTCTCTGAGGATCCTCTTAGTCAGAGATTAAACTTTCTCCACCACAGATGTCCTGGCTATGTTCTYCATGCCCAGCATTTATAACATTCAATTTCTGTGTGATTCATAGCAGAATTGCTCTGTACTCTATAAGCTTAATGCCATGCAAAAATCTTGAAAACTTCAACAGAGCATAAGTTACACAGGCTGAACTTCCTAGAAAAGGCCTGAAATGCAGTTCAAAGAGGGACAGAGTCTCTAAAGTATAAACATTATCATTTACTTGTCTGCTTCATTATATTACTGCTCACTATTTTAGCAGAAATGCATTGCTAATAACTCTTTAAAAAGAGTGAGATATGAATACTACATGTTAAACATGAAATAGCTCTTAGGCTCTGAACATAAGTGAAAGACCTCGTTATGTCTCCGCTAATCGGTAGCCTCAACATATATTGCACGTAGTGCTATAGCACTGACGTGTGTTTCCTTTGCTGCTCGTTGAGATTTCAGAGTTTTCTTTTTGCAAACCTTGTTTCCCTTTCAGACTTTTTGCAAGAGAAGACAGCAAGCATGTYGTCCAGATAGTCGGGCTGCGAGAGGTCCAGGTGGACTCTGTAGACCTGCTGTTAGAGGTAACCTCTATGTTGGGGCTTATTTTGTCTTCCMCATCTCAATTTACCAATTTGTGAGATGAGCCATTTGCAGAGAAGCCTGATATTTGTTGACTGCTGTATGTGTATGTTCCTGTTGAAGACTCTGAGGCAACCTCAGCAGAGAACTGAGTTTATTTTTTTGTTAGATAGATCCATATTTTTCTCCGATGAGATTTCCTTGGCTTCTGTCAGTTTATGTTTTCTCTATAAAGGGTATGTGACAGGGTATGTGAAAATTAATAAAGCTAGAAATTATAAAATACTTAGGATTGAGATATTGAGTTGATTTAGAATTGAGACTTTACTTAAACAATGGTACACGATAATAGCCTTGTAAAATTACAGTCTTTAAACAGTAGCTGATGTTCAGCACAAGCAGGGCTTCAATCTGCCTGCTCTGCTTGGCTGAGCTCTCCAAGAGCATTAGCTGATTTTCTGCTCTGTCCTTTTCTAAGAAAGCTAGTTAAATCTGCCTTCCATTTTTCTTGACTTTGCATATTTTAATTCCTTTCTCAGTAAGGAATTGTAAATTAAAAGTGCCTAATAGTGTAATTGACTCATTAAAATTAGTGTTGCCCACTTATAGTCCATTTAATTTTATTCTTTATCCTCTCATTAACTCCAAGCTTCAGGACACGCTGGTGATGCTTCTGCAAATTAGATTGTAAATCTGCTATATGGGTGATTAAAAGGTTCCTCTGTATTATCACATTCCACACATAGAAGAGCTATTAAATGACTTTATTCTCACAGGTATCTTAGCAAAACTCATTTTGTCCACAGGGTCTTTTGAAAACAGAAGTGTCACTAGCTTGACTCAGAGCTTTTGAACAGCCTGCAATAGATAAATGGGAAGAGCCTTGAATATGTTTTCTGTTATTCAATAGTCATTGAATTGAATTCATTGTTGCCTTTGGTTCAGAAATTTTCTGTGCATTTAGCACTGATATAATGCTCAGTTGCTGCAACAATTTGTTTTGTTGCTGGATAAGGGCTCAACAGCCACTGAAAGGCAAGAGTGATGTGCATCTGTCAACGGAAACCGTATTGATTTAGCTAAATTCATATTTTAATTTGTTCTTGCTACCAGAAGCCAAGTTAATGGCTCTATTGTATGAGTGTCGTGCTGTAGTTATTGCAACAAAGCCTGTAATAGTCTTTAAAATTTTGCAAAGGAGAATTGGCTGAAATTTTATCTTGAAGATGTTGTTGCCCTTCTGACGTGCCTCTGCCCTTTGTTTTCTTGCTTTGTTGCTGACCCTGAATATAGTTGATGCTTTAGCTCTGCTGCATGCTCTGGCATTACTGCTTTTGGTTGCAGAGAAATGTTTTGGCACTTCGTGTCTTGTTATAGTGTAAACCTCTTGATTTTCTGGCTAGCGGTACCAGTCTGCAACATAAGAATGTGAAATTAAACTACAAAAAAATCCCACCACAACAAATACTCAGTCTGAGGTTATCTCTGCAATCTACTTCCTTTCTTTTTATAATCTAGATATTYTGCAAATCAGATCAAATGCCTGCAATAGTCTCGGAACTCTGTAGTGGCACCACAAGCAAATCCACATACAAAGTTCTGAAAGAAACATTGGAAGGGATTCAATCTATCTTACCAGCTGTCCTGCACCAAAATTTCAGGGCTGTAATGAAGTGTTCCTTTGAATGTAACCTAAACTGAAGAGAATGGGATCTTTTCTTCAGAGATTGTGTTTTTATGTACAATTTACTGTGGTGTGTGTTTTTTTTTTTTTTTTTTTTTTTTTTTTTTGTTTCCCCTTGTTTCCAGGTGATTTTGAAGGGAGGGAAGGAACGTAGCACAGGAGCCACTGGAGTAAACTCTGATTCCTCTCGATCTCATGCTATCATCCAGATCCAAATTAAAGACCCAGCCAACAGGACCTTTGGAAGGTAAGATTAGAAACAGAACTGCACCATCTATCAAGGTTGGCCACACCTGCTGATCTGTTCCACCACCATCTGATGAGGAAATCCATCTTGGGGACATCCAGGGGACAAACTGAGAAGASATACTGAGTTTGTGGGCAACTGCTAGTTAAACCAGAAGACAGGGTTCAAAGGGGCTTTGAGAAGTTTCATAACCCTGATTCTGCTCCCAGGAAGAGACCTTAAGCCATTTCTGGCAAATATTTGTTAAACTTAAAGATTTGCACTGAGGGAGTTTTACTGCCCTCTTGAGACAATCAATTCCATGCCTTCATCCTCAGTGCTGGAAAGCTTTTCCTTTCTGGCATTAATCTGGCCAAAGGTAGATGTCTGCAGAGGTCCCCTCTGCATGCGAGTTCATCACTTCTGAAGTTACTGAAAAGGAAGAGCCATTTCTGGCATCTGCTTCATCCCATTCTGCAGGGTCATTTAAAGYAGATCAGATGGAATTGCCTCTGGAAAGCACTTTTCTTTGATCTATAAAGTAAGCATGGAGCACCTAGCCCAGAGGGAGGTGTAGAAGTCTCCCTTTAGTCAGATGATTCCTTGTGACTCACCTAAACATCTCTGATAGCTCTGATAGCTCTGGTGCTATCTGCTGCAGTCTTGTACAAAAAAAAAAAAAAAAAAAAAAAAAGCACTTTACTACTACTTTTGGCAGTCATTCTACATAATTAAAGACTGTAATTCTGTCTTTTCTCAGTCATCTTTTCTCCAGACTAAACAACCCCAAGAAATAAGTTGATTAAAGGTGCCTAGACGTTTATATTACTGAGTGTCCAAAACTGTGCTGACTTGCCCTCCCAACAAATAAGATGCAGTCTTGCTCCCCAGGATCATCTTATAAATACAAGGCAAAATGTTAGAGCATCAGATAGTGGAGAGARGCAAATGTTGGAGCAAGGCAAAGACAGAGCAGGCAGGCTGGGAGATAGAAGTGTATGTGGTTGTGTAGGTGTGGCATATGTGCTATTTTTTGTTATTGAAAGAGAAGAGGAACTGGAGAGTGGAAAGGATTCCAAAATATACCTGTCATAGAAGTCAAGTCTCCTCTAGTATATGAAGAAGGGCAAAGGAGAAGATGGAGTGCAACGTTCAGCAGAGTACCTGGCATCCAGAGCTCTAGGGGGCATGGGAAGGTCTAGAAGAGATTTGAGGACGGAAAGGAACAGGAGCAGTGAAAGCTCAGTGTATTATTTATAATACAGAAAAATTCTGTACATATTGCCCTGAATTCCCATTGAACCTAGGCAGGTGTCTGTTTTACCTGGAAGGAGACTCAAAAAGTTTACGATTTCTTTAATTGTGTTCTTAGGAAGCTACAAGGTACAGTACTTTTCTAGAGAGATGTGTGCTTTACACTTTAAATAGCTGTACCCTACAACTATGAAGCACTCTTGCTGAGTGCAATTAGCCTGTTGTGACTGTGTCAATGCCAGAACACTCTGACCCTGTTCCTGTAGCTGCTTCCATGCTTATTTTGATGTCTCAGATATTCACAGTGCATATTTTTCCTTGTTCGGTGGTAGTTATTGCTAATCAATTTTATGATGTCATGTTTTGTTCTGTTTAAATGAGAAAACAAATCCCTAAGATAAATGCRAATTTGCTTTTTTTCTAGGATATCCTTCATTGATTTGGCTGGCAGTGAAAGGGCAGCTGATGCTAGAGACTCAGATCGACAAACAAAAATGGAAGGAGCAGAAATAAACCAAAGCCTTTTAGCAGTAAGCTACTAGCTTGCCTGGGGAAGGTTTTGTAATTAATTTTTAGTGTGGGTTTTAATTTGAAAAGAAACCACAGAATAGCACATGTGTGATTCCCACAGAGGGGAACAAGTAGAAATTGGCACTTGGCACTTAATTTTTAAATTTAAGTGTTCCCAGCTTAACTTTCAAGACTAAAAGACATTTTAGAAGAAAAAGATTTTATGGGATTCTTAAAGCCAGACAGGTAAACGTAACATAGAAAATTTTAAGTGTACTATTATAGGTGTCTTTTATTTTATATAGAAATTTGATGTCCTTCCTATAGAGATTATTAGCTTAAAATTGCCATATTTGTTTCCTAAAAAAGCATCTGTTTCTGCTGCTTATTTTTATTCCTTGAACCCGGACTTCTTTAATAAATCAGGAAGAAAGCAATACTCAAGAGCATAGGATATAGGAGTTCACGTGTGAGTAGAAAGGAAGGCATTCTTGATGTAACTGTCTTCTGTAAGTGTGCACAGAGGGGGACAAGCAGCAGAGAAATGCCATTTAAGATGAAGCAGAAGTGCCACTAATAGAAATTGTGCAGCAGGCTTTACAAGCCCTTTAATTCAAATGAATGCAGCTCACTGATGAAGTGAGGGCTTCCCCAGACAAGGAAGGTGTTAAGCAATCAGAGAGTGTGAATGAACAGCACAGAAGTGACTTTATGCAGCCCTCAGCTGTTTATGCTGGGAGTGTGCTGTAAATTGGATGTGGCTTGTTCTGCTCTGAGAATCGAAAATGTTATTTTGCACAGAGCCTTTCCAAGTGGGGAATAATAGCATCCATACTGGGAGAGAGATGTAAAGGAAATATATTTATGTGCTTCTCACTTTCTTGAGTACTGGTTGGTGAGTGAGTGGCAGCGGAGTCACGATTGACTTGGAGTCTGTTGCTTTTCTGTGTGACCCTCACAGCTACAGTGCGACCCAGTTTATCTCTGTATGCAGAGATGATTCCTGGGGACTGAGGCTTGGCATAGGTTTGTAAAACTGTTTTAGAAAGAACTGGTTTTAAATGTGTGTGTTAACTGCTGTTGTGTGAAGCTGAGTAAAGACCTGGCAATCTACCAATAGCAATTAATTAGAAATTAATAGCAATTAACTAGAAAAATCCATCTTTGAGTAAGTCTACGTGATCTGCAGTCGGTAAAAACTCAGCTCTATTGACTGATGATCGTAATGTTCCTTTCTGGCCTTAAAATGTATGAAGTTCGTGTATGAATGAATGTATGAATACCTTCAAGTAGAAGGTATTCAGATACTGCAGCTATAAAAAGCAGTATCAAATATTAAAATAGTTTGATGATCTTGCACTTGTTGCCAGAGCTGTGCTTTGTAAGAATATGCACTAAACGTGAGAAATATATATAATTTTAAGTGGGTGTTATTCTTTTAGATGTAGAAAGGTTGCTTCATGCTAATGTCACCCTGACAATACTGTGATCTGCTTATTTTCCCTCAGTATTTGCTTTTATAATGATTTGCCTCATGGCTGTACACACTTCTACCAATTTTAGAGAGCATCCAAGCTTGATATGGAGTGTGATGCTCTTGTGCTTGTTCCATAACCAAGAGGACATATATTTTAATCTGAAAATGTCATTTTCTCTAGGCTAGTCATAAATCAAGAGGTGTTTCTCTATGAACTACTTCTAGTGATGGTTATTAAGGAGGAGAGACCAGATGTGTTTTGTGAAGGGCTTGGTTGCAGCCAGCTCCTCATGCCCTGTTGGTTGTACTGGGGGTGCTGTGGCTGTATCTCCACTCCCTGGGTAGTCTGTTGCTTCACTTCCAGTTTTTTGTKTGTAGCTCTTATTAGCCACCCAAAAGGCATGGGGAAATACTTGGTTAGAGAGACAGGCTACCTCTAYACTACCTTCTGAGCACGGGTTTGATTGTGGGCTTGAATCCAGCTCCCCTTGCATCTCATCGTTTGGCTGCTAGTCAAAGCTTTCACCTCTGGTTAGGCCYGAGACGCTGCTCCTGCCCAGAGGGACAGGCTTGGGATCAGCCTCCTCCTAAGGCAGCAAGTGCACTGTGCACACGGGAGCTGTGTGGGGAGGAACGTGCCCTTAGCTGCTTGGGCCACTTTGGGCTGAAGATAACTGCCCGAGTGGCATAAGGAACTTGCACTGCTGCTGCCCAGGGTGGGTTCTTTTCCCTTTTCAGAAGAGGAAAAACAACTTCTAGAAGAAGCCTTTTAGAGGAGCTCCAAAAGCTCAGTTGTGCATTCACAGCCTGCAGCATCCTAAGGATGCACAGGCCTGCATAGCCCAGCCCCACCTGATTTGGCTTCAGGCTAGTTACCTGTGGCAGCTGCGAGTCCACAGCAGTGTGAAGCCGTGTGTTTGCTGAACACATTTTGCATATCCCATAAAGACAACGCGCTGGGCTGCCTGTGCTCTGTGCTGCCCCTTGCTCCTTGTGAGTGCAGCCACCCTGCTCTTGATTCCTGAGCTACCCACAGCTTCCCTTTCCCTGCTGTGGCTGTGAGGGAGGTTCCCCCTGGGAGCGACGTCCCGTGCTGGGAGCCAAAGGCACATAAGRAAAGCAGCGGATTTTGTAGCTTAGTTGTGGGGAAATTGGGTTGCAGCTCATAATTGATGTGTTTCTCCCCCTCTTGTGTTGGTAGCTCAAGGAATGCATCCGGGCGCTGGATCAGGAACATGCCCACACGCCGTTCCGGCAGAGCAAACTAACTCAGGTAAAGCCAGCAAGGAGGCAGCAGTGTAGGTATTGCCCTGAGGAGGGCATCGGGCAAAAGATAAGGTTCGATAACTGTGATTAAGCCTTTGAAAAACACAGAAATTAATGACTTTCCCAAATATTAAAGGTAATCACAGCGTTAAGGCCAACTCCCAGCAAGAAACATAATCAATCCAGAGGACCATCACGGGGAAAAAAGGTACCAGCTTTGCAGAAGTGCACTAACTCCCAAGCTTCATGCTTGAATCCTCTTAGTCCTCTGATTTTTTTGCATAAACAGCCCTGTGGTCCAGCTGTCAGCAGATATTCCTGCTGTGAACATCTGCAAAACCAGACTCAAAAGGGTTACCCTCCATCCCCACCCACTCTGCCGTCAATTTTGCATCCTCTGTGCAGTAACAGGCAGGGGAGTTTTGATCAACATTTCTCCGCTCTAGTTGTGGCATATGCTTTATTCCTCAGAACATATGGGCAGCCTTGTGGCACCTGGTGCAAGGGCTTGTTCGGAGCACTGATTAACACTTGTGTTTGTTTTAAATTGTAAACAAAGAATTACAAGGCAAACTGAGACACGTGGACTCCATAAAAAGAGACAGTAACTGTGCAGCACTTGAATCATGGTAAACTGCCCCTGTGCACACCGTTAATTCATGGGAAGCACAAGGTAAAGTGGTTAACTTTAAGGTCTAAGCAGAATAAAATCACTTTACCACCTATTTTGTGCAAAATGGTGTGGACAAGGGAGTCTACTACACAGGAGCCCCCTCAAAAATTCTTTAAACTGCAAATCTTAATCCTGTGAGCTCTGAATTTTTATCCTTTCTTGTTTGAAAATAAATATATGAATTACTAAGAATCTTAAACTTTTTTTTTCCTCCCACTCCAAGGTCTTAAAGGATTCTTTCATTGGCAATTCCAAAACATGTATGATAGCCAATGTATCACCTAGCCACATAGCTACAGAGCACACCCTGAACACTCTGCGGTATGCTGACAGGTGGGTGATGTGCTTCAAACTTGCTAAGGTGGAAAACAGCAAGAAAAACATAATGTGCAATGTGTTTGATCCTATATTTTCCCTTGATTGTATGGGAAATGATGAGTTAAGCAAGAAATGCAACAAACATCCTTTCCTGTTCCTGCAATGAACATCCCTACCTGTCCCGCTCTTACATTATGTCATAAAATGCTGCAGGTCTTGAAACTCCGCTCTCAGGTGGCAGCTTTCAGTGATGAAGGGATCACTGGGCTCTCTGTAGCTCTGCATTGCTACCCTCGGTGCTCAGAGTTTTGTTTGAGCTTCCTACTGTAGCTCTGCTAAAGCCCCTCGCCCTCCTTCTGTGCATTGCTCAAGGAAGCACTTGAAAATGCTGTGTAGACCTCTCTAGAAACTCAGGCATTTTGGTACAGGTGTTGTGGATGCCTGCTAGGGTTACCAATAGTTTAAACATAAATTATGCTGTTCGATGAAGTTTTTAGCCATAATATGTCCAAGTATTACTTTGTTCTGAAGGCACCGCTGCTTCTCTGGGAGAATGACATCTAAACCAGCCTCATTTTCAGGGTTAAAGAGCTGAAGAAAGGGATCAAGTGTTCCACCCCTGTCACCAGCAGACGTCGGGTGGCTGGAAGTGCATCRCCAAAACGCATCCAAAACGCTCCCTCTTTGCCCCCTGGGGAAAAGAGCTCTCCAAAGAAAGTGAAGCTGGGCCTCCAGCATCCTCCAGGTGCCATGAGAACGAAGCCGTGTCCTTCAGCACTCCAGCCACCCGCTGTCCCTTTCACCTCCACCCCCAGGGCTGTCAACAAGGGACATGGCTGCAGAGCAAGCCCCAGCTCCCCGTGGTTCCACCACGCCAGCCCAGTGAAGGGAGTCCTGCGTGTGGGGCAGCCCCTGAGGAAGAAGTTGGATGATCTGTCTCCCCACTCTGAGAAGAACCACGTTGCAAAGGATTTGATCATCAAAAATACTGCCCTGACCGAGGCAAAAGAGAGTGGCCAAAGGGACAAGAACCTGCAAGAGAAATCCCCTGGGCAATCCCTGAAAGTCCAGACAGTGCAACCTGTGCAGAAGCAGCTCGCTTCTAGAGAAGATTTTTCCTATGGGGATGGAAATCAGCCTTCTGATGGCAGTCAGGAGTGGGGAAATGCCTTTGCCAAAAGGTGTGTGGAAAGCTGGACAAGCCTTTCTCCCTTCCAGAAGGAAAGGGAGGAGCATTTACGCCTTTATCACCAGCAGTTTCAGCAGCCACCTATTCTACAGCAAAAACTGACCTACCAGCCTCTTGAGAGGTTTTTAACTCAGTACAAGCCCCAGGAGATTCAAGTGCTGCAGGAGCTGAACTTTACCCCCACGGAAGCCCAGAGCAAAGAGGGGATGCAGCTGGAAGAGCTGGATGACAGCGACTTCAGTGAAGACTCTTTCTCACCTGTCTGCAGTCAAAAGGGCACAAAAAGAAGAAGCCCCAGTGAGTGCAGCCAACATTCATTTTTCCTTCATCAAAGAGAACAAGGAACTGAGGAAGCGCAGAAAGACCAAAAGAAGCAGGATTTGTTATTTAAATATTCATTTCCCATGCAAGAGCATGAGCTAGATGACAGCTGGGATTGTAGCAGAGGCTTCACAAAGGCAGAAGAATCTATTAAAAATACAGGTGTATGCAAAACTCCATCAGATTGGAGCTTTGACCTAACTCTTGAGTCCTCTCCGAGCAATACTGCAGAAAAACCTCTCTGCTTGCAAGATGATCTTGCTTGTAGCTGCAGAAACACCAAAGATTTCCCAGGTGATCTGAAACAGCACAAACCCAACCCCAAATATCTCCTTTATTCCCATGAAACTCCCTTGACTCCAGAAAAGGAGGCTCCAAACCCATGTGTTTCTCCCCTATCGAAATCAGGGACTCCAGAGCACCGAGAGATCAACCTCCTACATAAGCAGAAGGAAGAACCCACCTTGGAGAGACAGGCTGCTCTTGCAGGAGACATGAAATGGAGAACTCGCAAAAACGGGGCTGGCCAATGTGGAGCTGCCAGCACTTGCTCAGAGTCGACTTCTGAGGCAGCAGCTCCTCTCACAATGTCCCCTCTTGACCATGAGGAAGCAACCGAGACCGAGAGCGGCTCTTCCAGCCGAGAGAAGTCTCCCCACGAGAAGCAGGCGGTGGAGAGGAGCATCCGTGGTGCCCGGCGGAGAGCCGAGGAGCAGGCCTGGCAGTGCACCAGAAGCAGGGCTCTCACAGACAGCATGTTGGAGCTCGGGGAGCTAACGCGCCGTGCTGCCAGGAGCTGCGGCTCGCAGCGTTGTCCACCAGCAGGGGACAAGTGGGTTTCACCCGCGGGCTGCCGTGTGAGGCCCTGCTGCTGCCTTCTGGCCTCGGGGTCRTCAAATGAAGGAGCTCTGCACAGTTTGTTTGTTGGGAGTGAAGCCGTAGCGGCAGCACCGGCAGCTGAATGCAGGGACCCCCCAGCAGAGCGGGAGGGCGGCTTCCTGCTCCGCAGCGCGGCCTGCAAAGGACACGCAGATAGGAGACAGTGCCATGCTGAGGTTAGAGACATTGCTGATAATCTGGGAGAATCCAATCCAGATGAAGGGCACGGCGGTGAACCCGTGGCTCAGGAAATCCATGCRGATATTCCTGAAGGGGGATATTTTCCAGGTACGCCGGGCTTTCCCAGCGGGAGAGATACGGATTGCGCAGCCCAGCCACGCTCGGAAGAAGGCATCCGGCTGCTGCAGCCCAGGCCAGGGCAGGGGAACCTGGATGTGGGTCCTTCTGAAGACACAGCCAGGTCTTCTCTCAGGAGCGAGGAAATGGGGCTGCTTAAGGACAAGTGGATGCAGAGTATTTTTACAAAAGAGACTTTAACAGATTCAGAATCAGCTGCCAAAGAGATTAAGCCACCAGCAAATGCAAACAGCCCCTCAGGTCTGCCCAGCATCATCTCCCCCAGCGCTGCACCAGAGATGGGGAAGCAGCAGAGGGAAGCCCTGGAAAAGGCCCAGTAAGTCTTGCTGCTCACTGTAGTTTGACATGGAGCTTAGAAAATCCAGACACGAGTGTGGTGCAACTGTCTTTATTTGTATCTCACACTTTTATGTACTTTAAAACCGGTAGGAAGTCAAATAATCTATGAAATAATTATTTAATAACATTACAGATAATTAATAGTCATTATCTTATGTAAATATGTGATTGACTGTTATTTAGTGCATCTTAAAATCTCCCAGGAAGCCAATTACTCCATTAGCGCTTCCTTGGGTAGCGTTGGAGGAATGAATAACACAACACAAGCTGCAGTTCTCAGAACTGGCTTCCTTTAAGATGGAAAGTGCCCGAAATCTGTCCAAACTGCTCATCAAGAGCTACTGTGTCTGTCTGTGCCTCTGTGTGTGTGTGTGTGGTGTGTCCATACATGTGCACCAGGGCCCGGCTGCAGGGACTTGGTGGTCATTAGAGGCAGAGCAGCAGCTGGGTAACCAAAGCTGAACTGTGTGTTCATCAGACAGGCTGTGATTCGAGCCCATCGGCAGCAGCTGGATGAAATGGCAGCCTTGTGCTCGAAGGAGGAGTGCCTGATAAATCAGGTGGCAGCAATGGTAAGTGCTTCCCAGGGTGATTTCAGTGCCCATTGAACCTGCAGAAATTACTTCTTGGGAATTAGGGACAGCCTCGTGCTCCTCCCGTGGTGCCTCCTGGCGTCCCAGGAGGCTGCTCGTTTTCACACCCGTCCTGTCTCCACTCGGCCAGGTCGTGGGGGAGGCTGGTGGGACAACCCTGAGCACCTTGTCCCTGCAAGGGCAGCTCTCCCTGTCTTGCCACGTGGTACGAGCCCGTAGCAGAGAGGGCTCCTCTCCGCACAGAGCCTTTTCCCCTTGCAGGCGGGACCAAGCTGCACTCCCACCAAACACCACACGGGCACATCACAGCTGGTGATGCAGTGCCACGTCGTCACTTCTGGGAGTCCCTTGCTCCGCACCCTGCAGCAGGGCCGGCCCCTGCTCAGCACGGCTGCTCACTCCTTGGCTCTGAGCACCCCGATTACTGCCTCCTTCGGGGCTCTTAATTTCTTCTGCCACTCAAGGGGCTCTCAGCTTATGCCCTATCCTGGATTGCCACAGTAAAGGCTTGACTGTAAAGACAGGCACCCGCCAGGCCGCTGCTCCCAGGCAGGTCAGGGCCTCTGGCCTCTCTTCAGCTGCTGCTCTGTGATTTCTCCTGCTCCCTGGTGGGCGCTTGGCCCCGCGTGTGACAAGAAGCCTCACACCTTGGCCCAGGGCACCGCCACGGCCCCGCGACAGCCCCGGCCCCGTCCTCCCGCGCCCCTCGCTGCAGCCCAGTCCCAGCTGCGTTACCGCAAGCCCTGTGTGTTCCTAGCGCAGCCTCAAGCGGGCGGCGCGGGCCGGGGGGCCTCCTGCTGCCGGCACCCYGAGTGGCGGCCGCCGTGGGGCAAAGGTGCTGCGAGTGCAGCTGGCAGCGCCGCGGAGCAGCCGGGAAGGGGCACCTCGGCATCGGCTGCCTTAGATTCGCAGCAGGGATCAAGATGATACAAAGCTATCTTTTTCTTTTTTTCCTTTAAATTACTCCAGGTTGTTCGTAATTACGTTGTTCGACAGAGACAGCCCTTTTGCCTCAGCACCCCCCAAATCCCTTTACTTGCCCAAAGCAGCAGTCGTCTGGGGGCTTGCAGGAGGGCCTGTTCTTGCCAGCGTCCCTGAGGTGTGGGAACAGCCTTTGCCTGGGCTCATCCGCACAGCAGGGTCCCTCCTTGGCCAAGGGCATTAGCTTGGACTTTCAGGGCCAGGAAGTGTGGGCCACAGCGAGACTCCTGCCGAGACCCGGCACGTGAGCACGTACTGAAACACGCAGTATTTAAAGTGCTTAAGAAAAATAAGCCAGGGCGGMCGGGTTGGCCTTGTTGCAGCGCTCGTGGCTGCGGGACCGTGTCACGCAGCAGCCGCTGACGTCCCTGTTCCTGGCTGACACCTCCCGTTTCGGACGCTCCCCACTGACAYGAGCCTTGCCCAAAAACAGCCGCCTCTGTGGCAGCACCAGGTGCCGTTACAGATCCTTTGTCTCGCTCTGCAGCAGGTTGTACTGCGCTCTGGGCCACCCATCACTGCTCTTTCTCACGCAGGAGCTGGGCTTGCTCGCCGACCTGCTGTAAAGCCACCCTTGCCCAGGGTYGGGGGCATTTGCCCGTCTGGTCATTGCTCATCTTCACGATTGCAGMTGCAGTGCCAGGGAGGTGCCAGGCACATGGGCGAAAGCAGATTCAGTGCATTGGTCCTTCTGAGGACCAACTTCTACCAGCTTTCTGAGGTGCATGGAACCTCACCTCAGCTGACTAGTATCAGTATCGAACCCTCTGAAAGATAACCTGTGTGGAAGGGCGAGGGCAGGACTCATTCCTTTTAATTCCTTTTTTTTTTTTTTCTAAGCCAGTGTATTAGACAGCTAAAGGAAAAACAAAAACCCCAAAGCAACCAGCAACTACAGGAACAAATTAAGGTCAGCAATGAGGGGCACTGAACTTTGCAGTGTTTGAATYGGGACTTCAATAAGGAAACACTGAGCAAGCCTGTTGCACTGTATGTTAGAAAACGTTCACTTGGGTGCTGCTGCAGTACACGGACTGTGCTGCCCGTCTCCACACTTCCCTTCTGCTTTTCTCCCCAGGACTTCCAGAGCTTCGTGGCCAAGCTGGAGGAAATCCTGGTGCTGAAGTCCGAGTGCATCCAGACGATGCGGGCRCAGCTGAAGCTCTGCTCGGCTGCGGGCGCCCAGGCCGCCGCGCCGCCACCGCCACCACCCSCCGTTTAGCTCCTCTTCGCTCGCAGGGCCTGTGCACGGAGCCCTCCACGGACACAGGCGGCTCGGTGCCACCACGCTCGGTGCTGCAAAGGGTGCGTGGGGAGTTAGGGGAGGGCTTTGGGGTTGATATTTGCAATTAGTTTATGCTTTAGAAAAGGATGGAGAGAACTTCTGAGWAAGAGAGAGCAATGCCTATCAGCACAAGCTTTAACAAGCTTAATATGTCAGGCACCCTCTTAACATTAACAGTTCAGCACCTTTAAATATCTCACCAGGCAGCCTAGTCCGCAGTTTCCAGAGCAGCTTCTCACCTACTGAAGGTGCTGCCAAGCAAACAGGAGGAGGGAACCCCTTTGAAGCCAAGCACAGCTCTAACAGAAGCGCTCAAAAGCTGTCCAAAAAGCACCTTGGTGAACAGAAAAACAGAAGTGAGGACTCAGAGGGGAGCTGCKGTTTAAGTATCTAAATAACTAGACCAAAAACGAAAAGCAAGGTAGGAGAAGGTGCTGGTGCTTTCAAGAGGCAGAAGGATGTTGTTGCCCTTCTTTGTTTGGACCTATCTCCAAACCAGCTGAAAAAGATGGCTTAAGTCACGTGTAGTAGGTGGCTTAGCAGAAGGCTGCAGACAAGGGACTTTGCACCAAAGGTTCAGCTGTTAATAAGCCCATGGGTCTTGCACCCAGGCCAAGGGCAGCGAGCCGCACGTTTACCCTGCTGCAAAGGACGTGTGACCTCCTCAGCAGAGCGCTGCCACAGGGGGCTTCGTCCACGGTGACTTTGTGACGCTGCAGAAGCCTTTTTTTTTTTTTTCACCTCAAAAGAGAGAGTCCACTTGGGCAGTTGCATTTCAGCAGCTGCCAACGTTGCTGTTCAGCAAGCCTCATACCTGAACCGGTCTCACTGGTGCTGCACTTGCTGTTACGTGACCCTGATAGAGACCTGTCAGCTGCAGCCCACACGGTTCCTGCCTCTGTGCCTCGCAACCAGGCCTCAAAGCAAACCCAGCAGTCAGCTTAAAAGATGCAAACCCAAGACACGCTCTGTGAGTTATCCCAGTGCAAAGCTGGGCTACCAGCTCTGGTCTCCTCAGCAACATCTGCAGCAGCTCGAGGGCCCCAGCAGCCAACACAGCCAAGCAGCAACTCAAATCCTTAAAGCACCTGGGAGCAGCTTGGCAGACGGGATGGAGTTGTCCTTCACCACAGGAGGGGACCGTCTTTAAAAAGCAGCTCGGCCATGTGCTTCCCAAAGGGTTTTCAGTCTCTTTTCCAAGGTGGCCGTTTCTAAAGAGCAGCCCCTTGCAGCTCTGCAGTGCGGCCCTGACATCTGATACGAGTTGTTCTTGTTCCCAGCACCGAGGAGCATCCACAAACYGGCTGCTGTTACACGAGTCTTTTACCAGCTCGACAGAGCCTGGCCACGTACAATCAGGTAAATTAAGAACTGTAACATATCTAACTTTTGTATGCAACTGCAACAAAGACTAGTAATGCTCATGGCAGGTGCTTGATATTTTATTTGAATACTTCACATTATTTAAAATAAAATTCAGTTTGCTACAGAACTCTGGTAAAGTTTGTTTTAAATTAAACACAATCAAAACTAAAAGCATCTGATTGCAAAAGAGTAACTTGGGTTGGAAATACACACAAGCCCCCGCTTGGCACCGGGCTGGTTCCTTCAGCTCATGTCTCAAATGCTGCCCACCAGCTCTGCATGGGCTGGATGGACCCGCTTAAGGAGCCGCTTAACCCGTTGGCCGAGGCGGAACCCGGAGCCCAGGCTGCACTYGGGTTCAGCGGTGGCTCCGGCTGCCCCCGATCACGCACAAGTGCCACCCTCAATGGCAGCTGGGGGCACAGGGCACCTCGCAGCGCCAGGCCCGGCTTTTGGGGCTGCAGGGGCAGCRCTGGCGGCCCTCAACAGCAGCTTCCACGCAGGGCTGCCCGGGGAGCCCTCCGGAGCAGAGCCCGCTCAGCTCCCGGCACTGCCCCTCTCCTCCTGAGCCTCCTCGAGAGGGCCGGGGTCCCCACGCCAGCCTTCACCCAGCTGCACTGAAGGCAAAAGGGCCTCCGACGACATCAAAACGCTGCCGCGCGCCCGTTTGCAGGTACCTGAAGGGAGCTGATGCTCTGGGTGCCTCCAGGAGCAGCAGCTCTCGTACCGCCAGGACCGCGGCTCTCTGCTCTCGTGCGCTGGGCCCCGCAGGCAGCAGAGCCTGTGGCCCCAGTGCAGCTTCACAACAGCCTCTGCGCCCTGAAGGGACACGGGCCGCCCAAAGCCGACGTCCACACTGTGGCCGCTCGGTTTGTTCCACGTTTCCTACCTGCCCCTAACCACGTGGGTAAAGCCCTCGCTGGACGGGTGCACGAGCTCTGTGCCCGCTGCGCACGCGAGGCCGCGGCCGCCCGGCGCCGCTGCCGGAGCGCGAGGAGCCCCGGCCCAGGCTGGCGCTTCACGCAGCTCAGAGCGACACCTCTGCCCTCCTCTCCACAACAAGCTCCTGCAACAGCGCCCTTTTCCTCTGTATTTCACTGCAATCCTCTGCGAGGGCAACTCTGACAAACTTTAAATGAACAAAACCACCTAGATGCTTTTATCGAGACGTTTGATCGACCTAAATAGTTACTTTTCCACTGGAAAGATTTCTTGCTTATTCTGCTGGCAGGGGCTTTTRTTTAGCTATCAGCTCAGAGGATCAGGTAACACAAACTGGACCCAGGAGCAAGTCCACAGCACTGGGATCACCTCCCAGCTTTTCTGGCTAGCAGGATGCCCAGCTCCTTGCTTTCGAGCTGACACACTCCTCATCTAGGGAGGAAAACTGGGCTTTACCCAAAGCCCCAGGCGCTGCCCCTTCCTGAAAAACCTAAGTGGAGGCAGCGAGAGCAGAGCCCAGCGCCAGCTCCGTGCTCTAAAGCGAGGCTGAGGCTTTAGACTTGCCTTTGCTCCAGCTCAAGGCCAAAACTGGCCCCAGGGACAAACACGTCTGCAGGGCTGGCGGTGCTCACGGGCCCACGGGAGCAGGCAGCACCTGGGCCCACTGGGGTCGGAGCCACAGAGCAGCAGAGATGCGACCCATGACACTGGGAAGGACAGTTGAGGGTTTTATTAGTTGTTTTTCTGCAGAATCAAAATATTTAGCAAATTAAAGATTCCTCAAGACTGCTGATATTTTATGTATTCAGAACTTGAACAATGTACAATGTAATACAGTTCGTACTACCAAAAACAACCCCAAACCTCATTTCTAGTGCTAGATGTTACGTATTTCTATAGCAGTGGGGAGAATTGAACTAATGCAGTGAGTATATTTTTTTCCTCAAAAGAAAGTGCTTAAAAGAAACTTCCTGCTTCACACTGAATATTATTTAAAACAAAAGATAACTGACTTCCTGGCAGGGCATTTCCTTAAATAACCTACAAACCTGGGGGCGAAGAACACGGAGCCCCAGCTCTTTGCCTTCGGGTTCAAGAACCAACGCAAGTTGCAGGTGCAGATTGAGTTCACAGCTTACCTGTTCCAAGAGAACTTACACACCACTCAGCATTGGATGCTTATGTCTGGCAGAAGTGTTGGATGCGTGGGTCAAAAGTAATAAAAAACACAGGAAGAGGAACAGCTTCTCTCTTTATGCATAGCGACAGTTTCTGAACCAGTGTTTTACTAAGTTACAGACTAGCTTCCAACCAAAAAATAAAACTCCATTGCACTAAAGGTCAAATGTGGCCAGTTAATCTGGACTGTGACAGTCAAGTAATAATTCAGTACAAGCAGACACCATGAAAGCAGCTTTAAAGAACCAAAGCCTCCTAGTTTCAAAACCAACTTCATATTCTTCTGTCCAACTCCAGTGCAACAGTAGGGGAAAAAGAACCACTCCTGTCTCTGCCTATATACAATTCCAGTAGTTGGGCAGTCTAAACTCTCCGTGGCCAAGCTGGAAAAAGGAAACTTAGGAAAGGGCACTTTAAAATTTTAATTTCAGAAAGAAAGTTGGCTCTCCGTTGAGAAATGCTGTAGTAATGCACACAGGCAGGCTTGCCAAGTCCTCTCCCGTGGATGCGATAAGCTGGACTCCTTCCTGGCGAGAGCAAGTCACGCTGGACGTGAAGGTGACGGGGCTGCTCCTGCTCCGCTGCGCGCCGACGACCCACGGACGCGGTTTCAGCTGGTTCCTGCACGGGCCACTAGATCTTCCAGAGCGTCGTGTTGGTCATTGTCGTGTAATAATAAGACCTCCTTAATGTCATTTAGTTCAAAGCCCATTTCTTTAAACTGACTCATTAGCTTGAGAAGTTGCGTGGTCTGGAAGAGAGAGACAGACAGTTATTTGCTAGAGGGAAACGGAGCAAGGCCCGGGTAAGCTCAAGAATGGTACGTGGGTTTGGGGGAGTGTGGGGGAGCTGGGTTGCAACTCTGAAGGTTTAATACTATAGCTCAGCACATGACAAGCTGACACACACTCGAACAAGCAGCCTTACTGCTCTGTCCCGTTCCTGCCTCTGCACCTCTGGTGCTGCCAAACAGCCACAGAGTGAACCAGTRCCCCCAAAGTCATTTTTCTTCCAACTTCTTCCATCCTTCTTCCGTGATTTGCTGTGCAGCATTTCAGTGCATCTGTCCTGGGAAATCACAGCTGGGGCAGACAGGGTTTTGAAAGCAATTTACTGCTTCTGAAATTAAGTATTTCTATACTATACCGAAGAGTAGAGGCTCAAAATGTGACAGTCAGGATAGACAGGCTCTTTATGGGGCCCTGTTCCTATACACAGAATCACAGAATGCCCAAGGTTGGAAGGGACCTCAGAGGTCATCGAGTCCAACCCCCCTACCAATTGCATACCAATGCAATCCAGTGAGAGTAACAGGAAAAAAAAGTTATGCAGAATGTGTCTAGTACTTYAACACATATCCCCTTTTCAGCACAAGGATGTTGTCTGAAAAGGCAGCATTACTGTGAAGCCAAAGCCACCTCAGCTGCCTTAGAGGAAGTGCTGCTGGAAATCCCCTTCGTGGTGCAGTTTCACTGTTGCTGAGCATCTAAAGTCCTCACCTTCTCTCCTGAAGACTGATGCATTTCCAAAGCTGCTTCAACAAGAAGTGGATCAAAACCCTTCTCACAAAGCTGTCCATGTGCAAACAGGTAATCCAAAACCTGCGGAGAACAAGGAAAAGAGTCTACGTTTGCAGAGTGACATTTTCATATCATCAGTCCATACCATCTCTGGGCATGCAGAAGAGCTAAGCATGAGACTASCCCAGGCTTCACTAAAACAAAGTTTTCTAGCAGAGCTGAGAAATTCTTCACATGACAGCTTGTTCAGAGTGATTGAACAGGCCTTGGGGGCTCTTTCAGCTCTCCTACCAGCTCCAACTTCTCTTTCCGCTCAAGTCCAAGCCCAACTTGAGCTTTCTGCTCCTTATCACCGAGCAGAAGGCAGAAGTTTCAGATAAATAGTGCTTTGACACCACTTCTTCTGAAACGGCACCGGAGGTGCCACAATGAAGGTAAAACAGCTTTTGAACTGTTCCCTCTTGGCTATCTCCAAGGGCTAATGCAGTTGGGAATTCGGCAGCCTTTTAAGATCAACTCAGACTGTTGAGTTAGCTGCAAATCCCACCTCTCACAGAARTGGTTGACAAATTTCTTATCCGTTCTCAGCTTTCAGAGGTATAGGTAAGGGTTAGATGGGCAAGAGAAAGGCAAAGCTACATATGTAAGAGAACATAACCCRGAAACACATCAGGAATTAAAGCTCAAGTGGAGCTGGGGGATGTCCTCACATGAGGGCATCCCGAGCACCTGAAGAATGCCTGCTGTTAGCTGCACCTCAAGAGAGGATTTTGGGGAGGGGATGGAGCTCTCGGGGACACAACTCCCGTGGTGACCACCACAACAGCCAAGAGCTGCAGCCCAGCGTCAGAGCCTGAGAGCTCCCCCCTGCCCAAACCCTCGCTCCAGTCCCGTCAGAACCAGCACCTGTCCCGTTCTCACCTGGTCTATGTTCTGCCCCTTCTTCTTCATGGCTTTGAGGACGCTCTCCGGCGAGTAGCCCATGTTGACGACTGTCTCTATGCACTGCCTCTCGCTGGCAGACAGGGCCTGCAGCAGCTCGGGGCTGGCGCCGCCGGGCCGCTTCGTGCAGCTGGAGTTATTGGGCACTTGAGACGCTGCAAAGTTTTGGTGCGTTACCTAGAGGGCAAAGGAAAGAACAAACAGGATCAGGTGACGGTCACCTACATCCCAGCGTCCCTATGTGCTTCCAGCTGGCACAGAACGAGGGCRCTCCACATCTGCAACATGCCTCATTTTAGTAAAGAGTTAACTGAAGACTCGTCTATTGGGAAGGTATTCCCACCACTCTCTTTCCACCCTCAAAATCACCCCAGGCAGCCCAGGTTCCTCCGAGAATTCCTCCTCCTACCGCTGGGGCTGAATCCTTCAGCACCATCCCCAGGGTTTGCAACAACAGGAGCTGTTACAGCTTTGGGTTTGACAGGTTTCACACAGGAAACTCAGCTCAGAGGGCAGCATGGAGATGCTTCCTTCCCCAAAGCCAGCTTACATGTCACCCCTGTGACTCCTGGTGCCYGAACAGAGCGTTGCTTTGGAAAGCACTTTGGGACATTTTAGAGACACAACACATTGCAAGCACACTGGTATTTGAGAACTTACCACAGGGATTTCTGTTTCCTTGTAGTCTGAGTGTACCTGTTGGGCAAGACATGAGTAACAAGATGAGCAAAGCGCACCCGTGAGCAGCGTTTGTTAGAGCTGGGAGAAGGGCTCTAGGGAGGGAGAGCTGCAGCCAAGCCTGCCACAGGAGGGACACTCGTGTCCTGCTCGACCTCCCACCCCTTGGGGAYGCAGCAGCCGTGCACAGCTAGGGATACCATCCCTGAGGAACGCCCGTCATTACTTCATCTCTCAGCACTCTGCAAACGGAGAACATTCTCCCAGGAGAATGTTCTCCCCTCCCCACAGGAACTGGGAATGTTTATTCTGTCCCTATGAAAGCTGCAGATTCAGCTCTAACACACCAGCTCCTGCTCAGCTCCTTTGTGGCGTGCTGCCTAAGTGACAGTGATCAATTCTCAAGTCATTAACTGGAAGCTTCTTTTGACTTTGATGATGAGAACAGRTAGGGGAAACCAATAGCCCCATTTCCCCTTTTCTGCTCTCAGGGTTGGGCCCTGCACAGGCCATAGGCAGGCGAGGCAGCAGGCTAAGAACAACGTGGGATTTCTACACCAACATGCTCTGAGCACTTCAGCCCATGCCCAGCACATCCCCAGGGGACAAGGCCCCTCTTTGACCGTGAAGCTCTACAGTAAACCTTTCACCGGGTTGGGAGTGACCTTCTTTCAACCCTAAGCTCCTTTCCAAGCCCAGATTCTCCCTCAGGATTGGCAGCCTAACCTGTGCGAAGGCAATTCCTGGCTTTGGTATTCACAAATCATCATTCAGTTCCTACTAGCATTTGCTGCTAAGTCCCATGAGGCTTCGTGCCCATCTCTGCCTGCTCCTAAGCACGTTAGCACATCCMGAGGAACATCTCCCAGAAATTCTCACTTCCCCACATCCAAGCTTGCCACCTGCTCCAGCTTCCCCATGAACAGCAGCAGGGATTCCCACAGGGCTTGCAACATGCAGAGCTAAACTGGAATCAAAGCTCTTTGCCATAACCCGGCCTGCACGGCTCAGACCGACCACTTCCAGTCTCCCTGCATTTTAACAGAAGGAAAATCTACAAGAAAATATTTGACACAGCAGCCTGTTTACACACTCACTCTCTCTCCCTCTATACACAAAYACACACATGCACACACATAAAATATTTATAGTTTAAGTCACTGTGGATTGAAAGAAGCAGACAAGCTTTCAAGCAGAAGGACTCGTCTGGTTGGTTTGGGGTAGAGAGAAACCACAAAAATGTTTTTATATATATAAATGTATATATATCTTAATGAGTTGTTGCTCTACTAAGAGTTGAGCAAGTTTCTTTCCTCTGGAAGAGGGAAGAGCTCCTGTCCTGCATTTCTGCCCATTTGCATCTGCAGGAACGTGTCTTCCAGGAGGCGAGGTGGGAGAAGCTCCTGGCCGCCCCGGGGCCGGTCACCCCAGCCCTCCTGGGGGTGACGGGGAGCTCCCGGCAGTCGTGCACATCCCGCCCAGGCTTCCGCCGGAGCCAGCAGCACTGCGGTCAACGTGCAGGGCCCTGCACCCAGCTGCTTCTCAGGCTGCCTGAACAGAGGGTGCTCTGTTCTCTGCTTCCAGGGCCAGAAGCAGCTTTCGGCTCTTGGGGCTGCAATTCAGTGTCAGAGGAGGAAGGGACAACCAGATTCCTCCCCACAACCTGCTTTGGAAGCTGAGTTTGGTTGGCAGTGGGTCGCTCAGGARCCCCAGTCCCTCGGCCTCAAACCCGCCCTACAGCATCCTCGGGGCAGGGGACACCGGCCCTCTCAGCCTGGGCTTTGCTGGGGACTTCAAGGACCCTGTACACYGGCCAGGGGCCCCATGAGCTGACCCAAGACCCACAGATTAAACACACCCAAAAAGGAAGAAAAATTCAGCAAATTCACAGCATCGCAGAATGATTTAGATCGGAAGGGACCTCTAGAGATCATCAAGTCCAAACCCCTGTTCCAGCAGGGACACCCAGAGCACAGGGTGGCATCCAGGYAGGTTTTGAAGACCGCCAGAGAAGGAGGCTCCACAACATCCATGGACAATTTGTTTTTAACCTGGTTATTTCCACCGCTCACTTCTCTGCCAGCTTTGGCAGCAGCAGAGCTGCGAGCTTCAAAGGAGAGAAAAAAAAAATCACGTTGACCTCAGCAGGGCTCCAGAACCCAGAGCTCGGAGAGGACAACCCAGAACACAGCTGGCTCACCAAAATTCCCAGGTTTGTTATTTGTATCCAAGAAATCCTACACCCCATTCCCTGATAAAAACATAAGATTAGGAAGCAACTCCAAACTCAAGTAGCTACTCCTGGTGACCCTGGGGAGAAAAGCCTATCACTCTGGAACACTCAGGGCTGTGACTGTCGTGAGGCTTTCTGGAAACGGCCAGGCTTATTCTGAGTAACTTTGCACAAAAATGACACATGACCCTTCTGCTCAAGGAGGCCACAAGGACCCCTCCGAAACCCTTCTCCGTCATTTTTGAAACTCTGAGGATTTTTGTTTCGTGAAATTTCCATAAATGTAAATACAGCAACTTGGCTGTCATTTTCCAGCCGCCAGGACAGGAAATAATGCGTATCTGGTGGAAATAATGGAGTAAGTACATCCTACAGCACTGGAAATTAAACAGAGAGAAGCAGAACTAGCTCCATCCTCATACTCATCTGGTTGGGCTACTCCAAGCAAAAACAGTTCCAGTAAGTATTGACTTCACCTAGTAAGTCCTCTCAATCAGGTGGTTTTCTTAGTATTTACTCCAAGYTATTTTAGTTTCAGTGTTTTGCATCTTCCCTTAGAGCATCCTAGAAAATACAAGTTTACTCTTTAGCAAGGTTTAATCTAGCAGAGGTTTAAATGGCTGATTTGAGAGTTTGACCATCTTGAAGTCCAACGATTTGGTTTTATACAATCTTAGACAACATCGTATATTCATCCCCAGAGACGTGGGAWACTTGGAGGTTTTGTCTCTGAGCTATATGTGGTGATAGAGTAATTCCTCAAACTTGTTTTTAGCAGTGAGCAGTTGCTCAATCTGCCGTTACTTCTGCTACAAGTTCACTACATCAAACGCTTGGTTTAATGACCAAGCTGCACGTTTCCCCCTACGCAGACTCTCACCCACAAAGCAGCACCAGCCACTGTGAAGCTAAAGTGTCCCCAAAGCAATGKCCAAAGGTGCTACAAGCTCAAGGACACGCAGTGCTACACTCCTGGGTCAGGGCAAGAGGGAAACCAATTATTCAGTGATTTTAGGTGATTATCAGGAGCGTTTTTGGCATCCACAACCCTTTCACACTCCCTCACCAGGCAGAGGGCTACTAGCAGCTTCAGACCAGCATTATTCTTCCACGTTTAAAGGGTATTTTCTTTAAAGGATCTACAGTAAGAAAAAGGACAATTCTTTTACTGYGGATCAACTGCTAGCACTATTTTCTTAGCTGAAAGCAGCACAAGTGTGACAGCTCTTTATCTGTTATTGCTTCTAGTCCGTGCAAAGGCTGCAATTCTCATTTCCAGCAACTAAGCAAACCCAGAAACATGCTCAAGAGCAGCTATTTTGCACAATAATTTCCKCACTTAAACCTAAAACCTAGAAATAGTTTAGAATATTTTTATCTCAGTTGCCCGAGACAGAATATAACACTGTGCAAAGGAGTCTGACCACTCTCAGCACACAGGTGCACAGCCATGAGCTTGCCCAAAGTGGCAGGTGAGGGAACTAAAAAATACCTGGATTTGGGGGGGGGGGGGGGGGGGCTGAAAAAATACTGCAAAGGAATAGTCCGAGGCTCACAGTTTTCAGCACAAAGACTTATTGGACTGATCAGTTTACAGTCAAGTGGAGACACTGCTGCACCTTCACTGTTTTGTCTTCACATCACTCATTAATAAAACTAAAAATGAAGCCACATTTTAGAAGCAAATTTGCCTCCATACATCCCTCCAGCCAAGGCAAACGTAAGGAAATGAATGTTTTACCGATGTCGCTGTGCTTTGAGATGATGATTCTTCTTCTGTACAAACTGTTGACACAGCCAGAGAAGGCAGCCTGGATGAGGAGGATAACGCTGATGTCTCCATGCCACTGGGAGCAGAAAGACCAACCACGTGGTGTCCGTTCAGTTCGCTAGCTTTACTCTGAGCACAGGTCTGCAAAGAGCTCAGGAAAGTGCCATTGCGGAGACAGGTAGTGCTGTGGAAAGTGCTCGTGAGCTTTGATGATTTTTGATCACTCTCATCAGAGTCAAGTTTAGGAAAGGATAGGGATTTGATATTGCTCACTGAAGTGATAGGGGACAGGGACACTTTGGAAGACAAGGACATCTTTTCACAGTTTCCCAACTGTGGTAAAGTGATAAAGCCATTGGGTTTGTGAAGGGGCTTGAAGTCCAACGTGGCCCTTTCTATGGACGCCAGAACTTCTTGATCTTCTAGCACAGATTCAGGCCCTCCTTTGGGTAAACTACTATCTAACAGCTGAGCAACAATYGGTCCCGTAGTACCAACGTGAATTTCAAGAATGTTTTTTAGTTCCTCCTTCTCATCAATAGTTTTTAATTCCAGTTTGTCAAACGGGTCTTCTTCACATTCAAAATCGGCTGGGTTGAAATCTGCTTTTGGACGAGGCGGACTAAGAATCTTCTGCTTCACGGCGCTGCTGTCGGCTGGCGTGGGAGTAAGAATATTATTGTGCAGCAGCCCAGCGAGGATGGGGTTAATAGGGGGTGGCATGGCCTTGGGACAGGGCCCTTCTGAGAACCCCCGGTTATTGCTGTCCTCCGAAGCAGCCTTCGGCTTCGCTCTCGCTTCTTTTACCTTTGCTTCAACTTCTCTCTCGACAGCTTGAATTTTTCTGATATTTTCAGCCCAATCAAATGTTTTCTTTTCCAGTGAGAAGTCATACTGACAAGAGGAAAAGAAATAAACTGTAAGGATCACAGCTACTCTTTTAAAAAGCAACATACATAAGTAATAACAGCTATATGAATTACCAGTTATTAATCTGAGAAGGCATTTTTCCTCCCCGCCACAGTATGTCTTTTAACCTGCAGACTGCCAGATCCAGCACACACTGAACTACTTCATTTTGTCTCCAGCAAGCAAGCCTAGCTATGGCTCAGAGCAGCGTGCCAAGTTTTACTACCTTCCTTCCTGTATCTAGTTTTGCTCTAGAGCTACTGATTGTCACAAAAACAGCTTCATAACATCCACTCCCACAGACAACAGATGCAGTAAGTGGAAATCAAGTGCATTACTAGAGGGACAGTCTTACCCAGAWCTCTGGCACCAAACTATCCCCTGTCACAGATTCCACATGTCATTCAGGACTATACCAGAAAAAAAATTGCTTCCAGAAAACCCAGGAATTACTAAATTCCCCTGCCAAGAGCTGTAAGGGACTTCCCATGCGTGTTTTACACCCAATGGCTGAAGGGCTATCAGCATTCCTGCACCAAGRGTAATCATTAATATGATAACTACCTCTCATAACTGATTTTGCCACTATTATTAGCAGGATGGCATCTCACAAGCTTTCCTCATTTTAACATCAGCTTCTTAAGGGTCAGATTAGCACAGAAAGACATTTATATTAGTTGCCTGCTATCAGTTTGCTGGCCAGTTGACAGTGGTCTGTTTGAAAGAGGACAAAATCCCGAATAAACTCTATCTATTTAAAGTTTTAACAACTTATGAAGAACATACAGTCTTAGTGCCCTTTAAAAACCACAGCTTGGAGAACAGTTTGGAGAACACAGCCTGCAAGCTACATTCAGGGCGTAACCTACCTGTGACTCACAAGAAGTTCAAGTGCAACTTCCTTACCAGGATAACGCCACGTATTCAAAGCAGGAGTGTTCTTGCCACAAGGCTGATAGGGAATCAAAATTCCCAGCTCTAAAGAACAACTGGCCAGCAAATTTGCTGAGCTCAGGAGAGGCTTTTGGGGGACTCATCGCGTGTCCTGACAAGTCACAGGCTGTAACAGGTTCCAGGTAGACCCCTCAGATCTGCTAGCCCAGCTGTATATGACACAGTTCCTCTTGGCTGGCTCCGAGACCAAGAAACACCACGCACTTCCTCAGTGAGACCATTTGGAAACACGACAGTGGGACACTACTCATGACACATCCCTGGATACCTCAACAGCTACCAGAGGAGCATGTGTGTGTATAAATAGAGCTTGGGTCAGTTTTGCTTCCCTGCACTGGTTTTCTTTTCTGTTACTACCGCTGTAAATAAAGTCCACCACATAGTGGGAGGCACAGCCTACATAGTCACACCATCATGCAAGGCACTGTGGTCCCACTGGGCATGCTGTATTTGAGCCCTGTTAGCTTGGCAAGGAAAGAGAGACAAACCATGATTGCTGGAAGTACCTAAAGGACATAGAAGAAGTGGTAAGGATCCCTTTACCACTTCTGTACCAGCTTAACTACATGGAGATATGAAAATCATGCAATGAATAAATGTCTATAGTGAAAAAATAATGACAGTTTAGGGAATTTCTGGGACTCAGCTCTTCAGTGGACAAGCTGCAGGGCAGAACAAGCAGAACAGGTTACAAACAGTCACAGCTGATGTAAAAAATACTGTCAGTGAGGACTGACCAAGGACCATCGTAGACCCGAATGAAAAACACAGGTCAGATATTATATTTCAATAATTATGCCTAAGCAATTGATTTTACTTTACCAGAAGYTTAGGGAAACAGATCCATATTCTTGGAAGCAACCTAATATGCTGTATCAGGTTTGTTATATGGCTGGACAAAAAGTCCCATTGCACAGAGCTCAAGAACTGGAAACTTTTCACCCCTTCAGAAAGGGATTCTATAAAATACCGTCATAAAGACATGATATTATGTCTTTATAATAAACATAATATAGTAAGACATAATCTCTCAAATGAGATTCTGCAAGTGTGCCATTGCATTGGTACTCGAACTTTTCTCTGGCATAACACCTGGTACTATAGCACATAAAACAACAAAAACACTTACCTGAGTATCTCTGATAAGCTGAGGAGAATCAGGAAGGCAGAAACCAATGGGTAATCCAACTTTAGCAGGGGTTTTGAATTTGTCTCCTATCTTAAATGGGACATCATCAAGATAACTGAAAGGACCTGAGATCAAAAGCAGAAGTTACATCAGAAATTTGCTTAATGCCTTCAACCGAGACYTGCGTTTCTGTGTCTGGGAGCTATTTTATCTGTGCAAACCTAGCTGTACCAGGAGTCTAAGTAAAGAGGAAGTTACTTGATCAGAAACACATTGAATACACTTGGATTTTGCTGTTGTAGTTGCTTTCCTCTTTTAATATAAAATTTAGGCAATAATCACATATTTGGGGCAGATCTTTAAGCTGGCAGCCTTACCAACCATCTTCCCTTGTGACAAGACACTGCCTACACAACGGAAATTAAAGCTCTTCTCAAAAGCTAGACTTCATGTGTCTATAACAAGATCAATAATATTGCAATAGGCCTAAAACCAACCCACCTCTCGCAGAGCCTAAAACCAACCCACCTCTCGCAGAGCCTAAAACCAACCCACCTCTCGCAGAGC